GAAGATACGCTGTGAACATACATGAAGCCATAATAATGCTAACCTCGTTTCATAATAAAATTTAATGTTACTAGATGAACCTATTCCAACATCATTAATAGGAGAAACTGATACATTATTCAATATACAAGGATCAGGGTTAGTAGTTAATGTAATATTAGTATTATCATCAGTAGTAGTAATGTTCACTAATCCATTGACTATATAGTATCCAGTGATAGGTACATTATCCAGTGTATAAGGAGCTGTCCATGTTAATAATACACTGGATCCATTAATAAAGGTATAATCCAGATCAACAACACTATCCAATAGACCTAAAGAAGTGAATAACTAGGTAAGTGTAAACATTGCTAGTCATCATTAATTATGAAAAAATACCATGATCATACACCTCTTGAGTAAATAATAAATATTAGAATCTACAATCTACTAGCTCTTCTCCTTAGTGTTATAGTGTAAAATAATTATACTAAATTAAATATTGTTTTCCAATAGTAAAGGAGTGAGGTGCAGGGGCGTATATAGAAATTCAGAAAGGGGGGTGCTGAGGGCATGCTTAAGCGCGCTCCGCAATTTTGGCTACACCCCCTTTTTACAGCAGTAAAATGGCATTTTCCTTCATTTTCGTAAATTTTGGGTGGGGTCAAGATAATTTCAAGCATACTGGTTCTTCTGATCACTTCTTAAAGCACTGGAAACTGCTGAAATATGATCAGGGGGCTAGATAACTTTGTTAAGAGGCTTGGTAGTGATGCAAGAGTCCAGGACTTGAGTGATTTTTTTCTGAGCCCAGCCATGAGGGGGTGCTCAAGCCCCCCCTTGGATATGTCACTGGGATGAGACTAAAACGAGACCAATTGAAATAGACTTGAAAAATTAGTGTGGGGCTCACTAATGTGCATATCAATGTCAAGCCCCATTACCCAATTTGGTAGGAGGGTTGTTACTCTGAGATGGGCCCACGGATGGGAATTTTGCTCCGATACTTGAGGTAGTAGGGCTTGACAAAGGCATATCAGGGGCGGATCCAGGATTTTGGAAATGGGAGGGTTGTAAAATAAAATGGCATGCAAAGCGCTCCGCGATTTTGACCACACCCCTTTTTTTGGAGCGATTTTGTGGTTAAAATCACGGTAAAATTAACATTTCCCCCATTTTTGGAGCTCTTGTTTTGTTAAGTATATTCATTAACCACAGTAATGTTGCTATATAAACTAGGTGGTTAGCACTTCTACCACTATTGCAGCAATGAAAACATTAAAATTTATGAGTCAGAATGTCTTGGGGGTTCCAACCCCAGCAACCCCCCCCCCCTAGATCCGCCCCCTAGATCCGCCACTGCACATAAAGGCTGGTTTACAATAACACAATGGCTATTACTCTAACCTTGTATCATTAATATTGTTGTATTACTGAATGCTATATCAGCAGGTTTATCAGTAAGAGCTCTACACTTCACTTCAGTATTATTATTATTATCATAGGCTATTGCTTGTAGCTCTGCTTCTCTAGTACCACCATTATTAGATACTGTCTCACTGAATCCTTTAGCTTTAACATCTATGTTAGTAGCTGGTGTATTATTAACCCTGAAGGAAAGATCATCACCAATTCCTTCACAAGAGAAGACAATAGTAGAGTTGAGTGTTGTATTAATAGATACTGGCTGCACTGTTATATCTATTATATATAATAAAAAAGAATGAGATAAAATGAAATAAAAATTATGTACCCTATATATATTAGATCTACTTACCAGAACAATCAATGTATTGCAGCAAAAGAAGGAAAATTAGATTCAAGACCATTCTTAAAGACAAAACTATCTGTATGACAAAACAGAGGACAAAAACAGTGACTTGACAGCGACGCGTCGACTAGTCTAAGAGGAAGGAGTGGCCACGTTTCATGCAAGCTAACTAGCATGATACAGCAAGCATAGCTCGATCATAAATAGAATAGTTATCATAAAATCTAGACTACTACAAACACATACGTGCAGGTCAGCTGACTAGCACAGTTGTTTTATGCATAGATACAGTGTCTATGGTTCTTGCCCCTTATAGAGAGACTAGACGGCGAGGCTATATCAGCAGTACGGCCCGTACAACTCACATCAATAATGGTCTGCGTTTCTGTAACTATAAGGACTATGTTTTTAATTGCACTTTGTCTTCAGTTGTTTGATTGTGCTAGTGAGTTCATATAAAATACTACAATAACATAATACAATTAATAATAGGTATAACTGTTCAGCCGGTGTCTATTAATACAACTCTCAACTCTACTGTTGTCTTCTCTTGTGAAGGAACTAATGATGAACTTGTTGTCAGAGTTAATAATGAACAAGCTACTAATAGAGATCTTAAACGCAAAGGATTTAGTGTAACAACATCAACTATAAATAATGGTGGTGCTGAAAGAGCAGAGCTAACAGCGATAGCCTATGATTATAATAATAATACTGAAGTGAAGTGTATAGCTATTACTGATGAACCTCCTGATACAGTATTCAGTAATATAGCAATATTAATGATACAAGGTTAGTGTGTCTTTGTGTAAAAAATGGAAAATGGAAGACTTTTAGGCCACTCCAATATAATTCATAATTATCTTTCTTGTACCTGACTCAGGCTGCCTGTGTGGTGTCGCATCATAATTTACAATGTATTACGCATGCAGTTTAGCTTTAAGCACACAAACTTGCTTGCATCAGGAACAGGAAACAGTGGAATAATTATTATGTTGGAGTAGCCTTATAGAAGTACTTTCAGCTGGATTCATGAGTATTAAAAACATTGGCTGCAAATAAAAGTCAGGAATAGGCTGAAAGCAATAAAAATTTTACCACAAAAATAATCTTACTAAAAATTTTTAAAACATTCTAAAATTTTTGTGACTGGTCAAATTGATCAGCTTTGAACCATTGACAAGAACAGTTTGGGAAGCTATACTTATCACCAAAAAAACTATATCAGTCAACAAAGCTTTTTTGCAAATTTGCATGCAATGCATCACCCAGCTCAAAATTAAACATTAGCCGGACTAGTTTTCTTAAAATCCTTCTTTGTATAAGCTATGTAGAATCAATGCATGACATTGAACATCCATAACCAAAAAACAAACCTGCAATAATTCTTTTGCACCTGTAAACAAGAATTTGTACAATAGCTATTTTAAATATAAGTATACTATATCTGCTTTATAGTATGAGAATAGAGAAAGAGTAAACAGGATATACAATGTCTAAATTCATTTTAGTAAAGCAAATCCTCAAGAATTTAAGATTTTAAAAGAAATATATACTTTAGGGAGAAAAATTGGAAATTTACAATGTAGCATTAATATTTACAATTCTTGAAGCAGCGCAAACAATTAAGTACAGCAGTGCTAGGTGAAAAGTTTTGCAGTAATAAATTTTCCATTTGGCCCGGTGTCCATGATTATATAGTAAACCTCATTTACACAAAAATGTAGACTGCAGCCCTAGGATCATTATTTTATTTTTTAGGTTTATTGGATAGTGTTGTTGATCTGGATTATACCTTTATTAATGGATCCAGTGTATTATTAACATGGACAGCTCCTTATACACTGGATAATGTACCTATCACTGGATACTATATACTTGTCAATGGAATAGTGAACATTACTACTACTGATAATAATACTAATATTATAGTATCAGCTACTAATCCTGATCCTTGTATATTAAATAATGTATCAGTTTCTCCTATTAATGATGTTGGAATAGGTTCATCTAAGAACATTAAATTTTATTATGAAACAGGTTAGCATTATTATGGCTTCATGTATGTTCACAGCGTATCTTTCAGTTCCTCTCATTACTCCTCCTGTATCAGTGGTACCAGTAGTTGATGGACAGCAAATATCACTGAATATCAGTATTGATGTAAGTATATCATTGCATGATAGTACATAATTGCATGCATGACTGTGGGCGAAGATTATGATCACTCCACAGACCAAGTTGCAGGTTTTATGGTTTTAGACAAGGGTTCTCTAAGCTCATAGTTATTTCCACAAGCTATCTGCCTTATCAAGCCAGTGCAAAGCACCAAAGCCAACAATTTTGCCAAATGTAGTCAGATTTTTGTGTTTCAAGTTATAGTATCTCTTGAGATATGCAAAAACTTTTCTAAAATGTAACCTTTTTTGTTTTAAAGTGATGATTGCCTAAAAGTCACCTCCTAAGTTTCCTTTAGGAAGAGTAGCCCAAGTCTATGAACTTCAGATGCTTAAATGGAAGGAATAGAGCCTAAAGCTGGCTTGGCTTAGTTGTAGGTGTTGTGTTTATTTTGTGGTTAGCATACAACTGTTGTAGAGATAGACCTGATTTCTATCTCCACTACTGTTGCAACAGACATCAGGCTTGATAAAATTAAAATTTACTTATAGCAATTATAAGATTTGACAACCCTCAAAGTCAGGTCTAAATTAGCAATCAAAGCGAAGCAAATCAAATAATTTATGCATATTTTATCAAGAATAGATACTCTTGATTTTTCTACTTTACCGTAAATTAATGTAGGAAAGATTTGTAATTTTTTCCAATGGTGTCTCATTTTGCTTAACATACACACACACACACACACACACACACACACACACACACACACACACACACACTTATAGGTCAGCATCATATGTAAAGGAGAGTATCCTAATAGTATTGATGTTAGTATACTTAATACTGATGACATAGTAATCAAAAATACTAGAATATCAACACAAGTTAATGATCAACTGATGGTTGTAACTGGAAGTACTAGTTCAATATTGTTACTTGACATTATTGATACATTTATTGTTAATGTATCCTTGAGTAATGATAAAGGAACTTTTAATGACATGCTATCTTTTGCATTTGGTAAGTAACTGGTAGTTTTGAAGGGGACATTTTAGCAATTTTTAATTTGGAGAGTTTTAATTTGTGGTATATTGTCAAAAATGGTGTGTTACTGTATAAGATGATTTGTTGGCGGGAGTTTTCTTTGGTGGTTTTGTGATGGCTAGCTTATATTGGCGGATTTAATATTGGCGGTTTCTAACAATTTAATTATATCCCCACCCTTAGGCGGGGTTTTACTTAAGCGGTTGTGGTTCGTGGAGAACATTATTATCAGAGAAAGACTGTACCTTTTCTGGAAGATTGTATTCTTTATCACCTGGTTTATAAGAGACTGGCTTAAAGAAACATAGCTAGTAAAGCCATGTTAGCTAGCTGCTTTTAACCATGCTTTTAACTAAAATTAATGTGGGTGTGGTCACACGCATGAATGGAATTATTGCTTGCGGATTTTATTTTGGCGTTTTTATAAAAATTCGTCAATCCGCCAATATAAAATCCCCATCAACATTTCATCTTATACGGTATATTTTGGTGAATGATGCCAAATTAAATTCGTCAAAATTTCCCTCCAAAATTACTAGCTATAAGATTTCATCATCTATATAAACAACTTATACACTAGGTTTTCTTGGACCAGTTACTAACATTAGCTCTTCAATTGACAACTGTTCTACTATTGATATAACATGGACTGCTCCTACAGTTGATGATAGAGTACCTATACTGTATTACGTACTAAGGATATATGATGCTATTACTGGTAGTCTAGTGGATACTGTATCAGTATATGATACCAGTTTTCAGTTTGTGGATAATAATTTATTTATTCATCGTTATACATATGTTATAACTGGAGTTTATGAGTTAGGAGAAGGAATATCTAATAATGATACATTCTCATATCAAAGAGGTACATACACTTAAATAGTTGTTTGTTACACTGTTATAGTACCTAGAGCTGTTGAAAACACATCACTTGACATACTTTCTTATACACAAGATCAAATTATTATCCAGTTCTATATTCCAGTATGTTATTTAATATTATTATCATCGGCCTTGCCAGTGATTAGTGTGGGCAAGGACTATAATATGCAGGACAAAATATAGTTTTGAAATCATACATGTAAAACAAAATTAATATTGTTTTTTTTTGTTTTGGCGAGGCCAATGCACCATCGGTGTCTCATTATAATAATTATATTAATTAATAGATAACACTAAAGTGCACTGGCGAAGCTCCTGAACATGTTACAGTTACTGTAATATGTAATAATGGAACTGATAGCAGTACAACTTACTTAATAAAACAAAAGATCAATATAACAGGATTAATAACAGTCCCTCAGTATCAACAGTGTAATATCAGTATTGTATTTAGTAATGAGGCTGGTAGTAGTGAACCATTTATACTAGCATTCGGTAAGTATAGATGTGTGTCTATATTATATACTCGAGTATTACATTAATAGATACATATCCTACTATCACAAGTGCCACTACTACTGTACCAACATCGACACCTGTTTCAACAAGTGGTAATATTAATACTGGTTAGTATAATAGATGTAATTACTATAATATGTATTATATGTTATTATAGTTATCATCATATCAATAGTATCAGGTGTTGTTATATTATTACTAATATGTCTTATTGTTAGCGTTATTGTTAGTATTATTGTGTGCAAAAATATGAAAAATAAAAAAAATACAAAAAATGAAGAATGCGAAGGGCTTACTGATGTTACTGAAGGGGAGACAAATGAAGGTGGCAACAATCAAGACCATTAATGAAGCTACTTGAATAAAATTAAAATAGCATTGAACTTAAACTAAAAATAATTGGTGCTGTGATGATTTTTGTTAATTGAATACTAAATAAAAATTATCAATTACATAAAAATACAGTAAGGCCACTCCAATTGAATTTATAGTTCCTCCTTTCCTGCCCGCTCACTGGAACAAAATTTTTAATACTTGTTATTTTTTCGACCTGGGGGCGTAGCCCCCAGGTCGTCCTATAATTGTTTTAATTAAGATAATAATACTGTATTAAAAAAAAATTTGATAAAATATATTTTTTAATTTTACTAAAAACTTTTTTAAATGACAAATTCACCTCAGTACTTGTTGGAATCACTTGATTTCACTATTGTGACAATTTCATACAGATTATACTTAAGGCTACAAATTCTCTTTTTTTACCTTTATCTTTTGATCTAAAAGCATGATTCTAAAATACAATGAGCATACTGTATTCCCGCAAATAAGGGGCCTACTCAAATAAATGCCTATGGAATGACCCATTGATAACAATTATCTCTTGTCTGCATGTGTAATTATTAGAATTTTATTCTGACTAGATTGAGTACAAAAAAGTTGTGAAACTAATGAATTTTACTAGCATGAACTATAACATTAATAACAATATAAACCGTCAAAATAAAGCATTAAGTCAACCACTCAATATAGTTGGCAGGCACAAGACCTCTCTTCCCTGATGAATTAGTAGCTTGCAACCAATCTGGCTCCTCAGACTCCACAACTACAGTGAATTATAATTTAAGGAATAATATAGCTAACTATAGATTTTGTTACCATTAATAAATATTTCATCTTCACGAAAAGAGAGCTCCAACTCATCTTCAGCCTCACAATCAAATAAAGCCTTGGCACGCCTAGAAAATCATGATAATTATTTATTTAGTCAATACTACTAATAGAGTAAAGGTGGGCATCCACTATGCAACTTTGTTGCCAGTACCTTTGATGTGGTTGTGCTACATTATGCATGAAGTTGAGACTCTCTCTACTTCATGTAACATGTTGCCCAACCACATCCACAAGTTGCAAGCAACAATGCTGCATAGTGGATGCCCACCTTAAGGACTATCAGCAACACACATGCATATACTGTATATACATGCTTGATACTGTATAGCCAGAGATAATATGTTTCACAGTTATAATTTTTTAGACTTTTTGTGCTACAAAAGGTCTAAACAAAGTTTTGACAGGCTAGCATTATTGTTAGTTTTTCCAATTACAGTCACAAATGCATTTATATTTACTGCAAGTTCACAGAAAAAGGCCAATTAAGTACTGGCTGTAAGCCTGTTACATTGAGCCCTGATAAAACACACTGAGCTTAATATAATAAGTACCTGCCAGTGCTTGGTTTTACTGGTGGAGATGGAGGGGAACGCCTGCCATCAATTTATAATAATAATAATAATATAAAAATAATAAAACCAAACCTTGAGAGTATACTTGGCTTTGCTTCAGAGGGAGGTGGTTCAGGTGGTGATGACTGAGAATGAGGCTTTGTAGCTGTAGGGGGAGGTTGAGGAGCAATCCTCTGAACAGCTGAAACAAGATACATTACATGTAATAGTAACGTGCAAGGAAGAATGATGCTACTTACAAGTTTGTCTCTGTGTTGGTACAGGCTTCTTTGATTCTAAATGATCAAACTGACCAGACTCTGGAATTAAATAAATCAAAATTATTTATAATAACACTCCTGTTAGATTGTACGTGCATTACAAATAATCAATTTTAATAATTATTATTTTCTTATAATAATTTTTTGTCTAAAAGCTTTGCAAATCACAAAAATTTAAAAAACTCAGATTCTACAAAAAATTACAGCAATGTCGTACAAGACCAAATACAAGTAAATAATTTTAAAAATTATTTCTGTCAATTTTGATTCCCCAACCATTAAACTTTAATAGCTTAAATACATGTACATGTTCATGTATTACCATGTAGAATGTTTCTGTCTTGTCCACTGGTGCTGTAGGCGGGTGGGGTCAGAGCAACTGACTGCCTCTGTGAGACAGGAGGTGGAGGAATGTCTTTATTACTAACAATCGGTAATACTGAACTAGAACTACTACAATCAATAAATAAAATAGCAAAAATGACATTAATAGTAATAATAATACAATAAGTACATGTAGTGTATGTTAGAATTGTACTTGATGTAACTGTGCAAATTGCAAAGCTATAAAAACTGGAAACTTCAGAGGGAACTGATTTCTCAATTTTGTTAAAATCTTTGAAGTTTAAGTTTAGATAATACGCATGTACTGTATTGTAGTGCTTGTCAGCTTATGAAGCTCATGCTGTTTAGCTCACTTAGCATGCTTTGTGGGGAATCCTGCTCAAGAATATGTAGATCTATGGTATATGCACTGTTTGTGTATGTATAGTACATGCATGTACATGTACATGTGTAATAAATTAGTAATAACTAACCTAGCACTCCCTATCATTGACTGTGCTCTCTGCTCCTGGCTCCTCTTAGCAAAGTTAGCGGCAGATATCTTTACAGGAGCAGCAGGAGGAGGACGCCTGTTCCTAATAGACGGCTCAGATCGTGATAGTTTACTAGTCGTTTTCATTCCTTTGGTTCGTGGGTAAGGACGATCTTCACGAGCTCCAGGAAACAACTAAAATAGTATCATAATAGAAAGTAAACTTGTGAATCTAATGTACGTGTAAAGTTATGCTATCTAATTCTTTTAGGTATAAATACAACTATGGATGTACATGTACATGTATCAAGAGAAATCTAATTACATGTATAGTCATGTACATGCAAAGACTCATACCCAAAACCTTATGCTTGCAGTATTGTATTAGGAACATTTTATAAAAAATGTAAATGTCAATTAATCAAAATTTATATTATTTTTGATACATATACATGTACATGTTAAACTAATAGAAAGTTTTGAACCCAATAGGCCCAGGCTTTGTTCATATATTTAAGGTACACTAAAATTAAAATAAATTAAAATATTAGCACCTACAAGTAGGTGCATACATGTACATGTAATCACTTTATTTTTAACTCCATCGTTTACATACATGTACATGTACCAGGGTTCTGCCTAGAGAAAAATAGAGGTGGTCAGAGACTAATATTGCTCCTTTTTATTTATGTACACCATACTAGTAGACTACAATATCATGCTTTATGTATGGTTATTAGTATTAATTGGATGGTTGGTTCATTTGTTGAGGTGGTTGTCCCGACCACCCCTGACCACCATAGGCAGGACTATGATGTACTAACTTACTTCATCAACATGACTGATCATGAATTCAACTATAATGTTCTGATAACGAATATCAACAATACTAGCAACAGTTTCATGCTCCGGACGCATCAGCGTGGGACCAAAACAGACTCCAAGATTACTGGCTTTCATCAAATTGACGGAACTTAAATCAGCAATGCTACAAATAAGAAAGACATGATAATGAAAGTTTTTATAAGCATAAAGACACATACTGTAATTATAACAATAAGAACGATCAGTATATAATTCAGTAAACATATGATGTACAGAAATACCGTATAGCGCTTTAATTTTGTGGAGCTAAATTTTCGCGGATTGATAAAAATCAATTTTTTGTGGAAATAACTTTTGCGGATTCGCAACGATGGTGCCGCGCCTTTAATGGCAATTGAAATTTTAACAGATCTTTAATTTTGCGGTTTCATGCTGACCTCGAAAATAGTGAAAGTTTAGCTCCTCGAAAATAAAGTGCTATACGTACATATATATTTTATAAATGATAAATTGACGAGAATACACATGCATTCATGTAGCAACTCAATGGGATTGACAAAAAAATCTAGTACATGTACACATACATACAATGTACATGTATATACATGTACACATGTACAGTGTATTATAGTCAGTTTCATTTGAGTTGCCACAGGAAGTAAATCAATGGTTGCATCACAAAATGTCATTCCTAGCCACACCCAAAATGGTGGCAAAGTGCAAGCAAACTCTTTCATTGAGCGTTTCTTCACCTCTAAGACCTTTTATTGTCTATTTTATCCTTGCTTTGGATACTACTACCTTTCATTATCACTGGCTAGACTTTTCTCTGTCACAAAGCTGACAAAGACCTCCAATACGGAAGATAACAACTTAGGTTGAGGGTAATGAAGAAAAACAGCGATCAAGAAGGCTGTGGACAGGTATAGCAGATGTTTCCCAGTAGTATAGACTGCTAATTGAGTGCCTGCTTCTTTAGAGGACCTTATCTGTCTGCTTTTATTTTATAAAATAAAAAACATTAATTTTCTTAAAATAATAATGAGATGCAAATTATATTCACGAGTGTGATGTAGCGTAAACGTAATGATTCATCATGGCGGCTCCCTTTGAACTAGAGCGGAAGAACCCATTCAGAACCTTCCAGAGTACCTAGAGACTCAAAAATTGGTACAGATTTTCGGAAGAACCCGTTATGCAACTATATCAAGTTTCAGGTTGCTAGCATTAGTAATAAAAAAGTTATAAGGGGTGGTGCTTGGGCAACTCAACTGAAACTGACTATATGTACAAGTTTAAAATAAATCAAAATTTCTTACTTTCTCAGGTGAGGTATTAGAAGTGAGAGGATGTCATAATTTGGTTTAGGTAATTCTCTTATTAGTATTTGAATGCTCTTACACTTTTCATCAGTGTCATTAATTTCTAAAAGTGTAAAAATTAGATGTAAAAACTAATTATTCATCAAGCTTAATATGATAATATTATTTTTGTTCCCATAACTTTATTACAGACACTTCATTATTAATGTATCCTTGATTTTAAAACACTGCCATTGTGATTAAGCTTTAAAAATGATAGATGTACATGTGCATCATTTGCACTGTAAAAATGGCACACATTTTTTATTCCCAATTTTCATTAAAATACAATGACACCATTAATAAGATATCAGTTTAACTTACTGGCTGCATTGATGAAATTGTAGTGGCGCTCAAAAGTTAGTACTGGTTCACCCAGGTACTTCCTATGAGAATAAAATTCAAATAATAATAATAATAATAATAATAATTTAAATTTTGTGGACAAACAGCAGTACAAATTGAAAAATTTATAAACAACCTCCAAATTTCACCAAAAATGAAAAGGGCGAGAATTTTTATTTTTATAATTTTTCTGTTTTATGTTTTGCAGCAAGTTTGAGCTGATTCTGATCAAAATTAGGTTATTTACAAATTTTAAAAGTTACTTGAAAATTGGGCCAAAGTCCCTGTATATTACATATTACATGTACATTGTACATATAATTTAATTTACAATAATGTGTACGTGTACATGTTTAGTATGCTGCTTACGCAAAGTATGCTTTCACTGAGCTGGCCAGTGTTTTAGTGTCCCATTCAATTTCATCAGAGAAGTCCATGTTTTCAACTGCATTACTATCTGTAGAACAGAAAAATACAAAATGGAAATTCAATATTAATTTTAATTTAATCTTCACCTGACACTTCTTTCATTAGTTTGTTAGCTTTTGCGAGAACTCCAGGTCTCCTGTATAGACCTTCCTCTTCCAATCCTACACAATGCACAATAAGTGTACACATGTACATGTACATGTCATGAATACTTTATGTACATGTACATGTCATGAATGCTTTATGTACATGTACATGTATATGTTTGCTTTATGTAAAAATGTTGGAACAAGCTTAGGACATCAGGTTATACATAATAATTATTAAATCATTTACAAACATCATGCAAATACCTTATCAGAAAATGCAATAAAAATTGGGGTAACTTTGAAGCCAATTTGACTTCGCTTTTGCTTTTTTTTTTTGAAAATTGGCCTGTTTTTAAAAATGCATATAACTCGAAAAATACTTGTCAGAATCAGCTCAAACTTTCTACACAGCACGAGGACATCAATGTGTATCAGAAAATGTAATAAAAATTTGGGGTGATTTCGGAGCCATTTTTTGGAAAAAACCATGGGCTATAGCCTTGGGTATTTTTCAAAATTTCGACGTTTTCTTAAAATCGAAAAATTGAAGTCGGAATCACTTCAAACTTTCTACACAGTATAAGGACATCAATATGTATTAGAAAATGTAATAAAAATGTGGCGTGATTTCAGAGCCATTCTTTGGAAAAAACCATGGGCTATATAGCCTTGGGTATTTTTCAGAATTTTGGCATTTTCTTAAAATGGCCGTAACTTGAAAAATTTAAGTCGGAATCACCTCAAACTTTCTACACAGTATAAGGACATCAATATGTATCAGAAAATGTCATAAAAATTTGGGGTAATTTTGGAGCCATTTTTTGGAAAAAAACCAAGGCTATAGCCTTGGGTATTTGTCAGAATTTTGACGTTTTCTTAAAATGGTCGTAACTCGAAAAATTGAAGTCTGAATCACCTCAAACTTTCTACACAGTATAAGGGCATTAATATGTATCAGAAAATATAATAAAAATTTGGGGTGATTTTGGAGCCAATTTTTGGAAAAAACCATGGGCTATAGCCTTGGGTATTTTTTAGAATTTTGACGTTTCCTTAAAATGACCATAACTCAAAAAACACCTCAAACTTTCTACACGGAATAAGGATATCAATACGTATCAGAAAATGTAATAAAAATTTGGGGTAATTTTGGAGCCATTTTTTGAAAAAACCATGGGCTATAGCCTTGAGTAGTTTTTAGAATTTTGACATTTTCTTAAAATGGCCGTAACTCGAAAAAGTGAAGTCGGAATCACCTCAAACTTTCTACACAGTATAAGGACATCAATATGTATCAGAAAATGTAATAAAAATTTGGGGGTGATTTTGGAGCCATTTTTTGGAAAAAAACCATGGGCTATAGCCTTGGGTATTTGTTAGAATTTTGACGTTTTCTTAAAATGGCCATAACTCAAAAAATTGAAGTTGGAATTACCTTAAACTTTCTACACAGCATAAGGACATCAATGTGTATCAGAAAATGTAATAAAAATTTGGGGTGATTTTGGAACCATTTTTTGTACAAACTTGCCTCTTTCCTCAATTGTGTTAATGCACTTCTCAACAAATTTGTATCCAACAGCATTGATCCTTCCAGCTAATAATAATTAAAAAATAATTAAATGTAAAACTAAAATATTTCACTTACTTTCTAGTGCTCTTAAAGATGAATAAACCTATAAAATAATTATAAATATAACATTTGTACAAATTAATTACTATTAATCCATTATACGTGTACATGCATAAAAGTCAATGACAGTATGCATTACACACAAAAATTTACAAACAAATACATGTAAATGTACTACAGAGCAGGTCTATTTGTTGAAAGTAAAATTTTGTTCTAGAAAGTACATGCAGTATACAGACAATCCATCCATGTAAAGAGAACAAAATTTTAAGGAAATTAAAGCAAATTAAACTTAAAATTAAACTTTTTAAAGGGACTCAAACTCTGACAAAATATTGTATCCCATCTATGCAGCAACTGATATGAAGTATACATGTACATGTACTCACTGGCTCTCTTCCTTCCATCACTTGGAGCCATGATGTTCTGTCCTCTTGACCAATCCCTTGAAGGATTATCTTATATTCTGCTCCCTTCAAACTAAAAATATAAAACACAATAAAAATCAACAATCACACACAACATAACAAAAGCACAAAAACTCATATAATTCATAAAAAAATACAGCCCATATTGTACATGTAGTACATTTGTGCATGCTTCAACATAAATTTTATCCAGCTAAATTGAGACAAAAAAGTTATACAAGTACATTGCACATTAACATGAATGGTACTTGTACCAACTGCAGTACATATCGCACTGTGTGTACATCAAATGCAGGGACTAATCCTACATTGTGTGTATGTACATGTACCTGCACTTCAACTCAAAGCAAAATCTTCTCTCAATCTCTTCAGCTTTGGCACGAACACAATCCTTCACTTCCATCCATTCATCTGTTGGTGTCTATTGAATAGAAAGAAAATTATAAAAAGTACATAATAATATTGATAAAGGTGAAAAATAAATCAAACAATTAAACTAAATCTGTACAATATCATGTAGTCATTTGCAAAGCTAAATTACAAATTATAATTAGCAAATATTAAAAGAATATAAATAAAAGCACACTGGACTGCAAAAATTCACATTAATTGCATTAACATCACAATTAAGTATATTCTTCGTACCGCTGGGCTTTTCTGATTACACAAAAATTTCACCATTTTTCTTTTCTCTTCTTTGCGAAACTGACAAAAGTATTTCTGCCAGTGATGGCCTATAAATAACAAAAATAATAACAACAAAAACAATACCGTATAGTGCTTTAATTTGGCAATTGGTGGTTTGCAAGCAGAATCGCCAATATTAAAACCACCAATCATTAATGCGCATTCTCAGTAATGCACGTGTATACAAAAATTGCCAAATTAAAAACCGCCAATTAGAATTTTACAGCAAAATTGCCAAAATAAAGCGCCGCCAAAATAAAGGGCTATACAGTAATTAATTTAATAAACATTAACAAATGTCTGCATAAAGCAATGAATAAAAATTTGATGCAAACAGAGCTACTACCAATACAAGCATATATAGTATATGTACATATATATACATGTATAAGCAAGACTAATAATTGGAGGCAGATTATAACAGCTAGTAACTACATGTATATATACATGTACTCATTGTAAACACACAGTTGTATACCAGTTGGGGCTTAGTTGTTGTCAACAAAGGTGAATGTACAATGTACACGTACATGCATCACAAAATCAAGCAGCTTTGAACTGCATTTTCAATATCACAAACTGATCTGCTTAAATTATAAACCAACACTATAAGATTGATGCTTATAATGTCATCAAAAATACATGTAAAATAATTATACATGTACATGTACAGTAAAATATACATGTAATATGCATTAAATACATATACACAGTAAAAGATACATGTACAATAAATAATGAAGTATAAAGATTGCAACATACCTGCGATTCCTCTTCTCTTATCCAATATCATCACTAAACCTTGTTTGACATATTCAGGATGGTGGACCATACCATGTTGCCCTTCCTACAAAAAGTACATTTTATAAACGAAATCACAAGATATTCCAATGATACAAAATAAACATGTACTGTATATGAACAATGTGATGTATGTATTAATCACTTATCAGCGTCACACTTGTAACTTGTATTACCTCAATAACTTGAGCCTTCAAATGATAAGCTTTCTCTTGTTCACTTTCATGAGTCTCTCGTAGCTAAAATGTACACACAATAAAAATTAATAAATTAATATAAAAGAAAACACTAGAGATTAATACCAATTGAACTTTGAACTGTGCCCCTTCAATTTGCGGCCTCAAGCTACAAACTTCTTCATAAGCTAAAAGTAAAAGGACAAAAATAAAAAAATATGCAAGCATGTAAAATACATGTACAATGTACATGTAAATAGTATTACAATTTAACAATTATTACTGCACTTGACTAGTATATTATTGTATATTATTGTATATTATACTAGTATATTATTTGCTGAAAAGAACTGTTTAAAGCAGCTTCAAAGAGACCAAGGGTTAGCAACAAAAAAAAACAACTGAAGAATTGCAGCAGGGTGCTTCGCTTAAAATAATTATTATGCAGTTTTCAATTAAAATCACATCTGGTTGCTATGGCAGTTGCCGAGTATGGGGAAAAATCCCAAAAATAAGCCACAAATATATCATGATCTACAGTATTATTACTACTGTGAGCTGTCTTTTTGTATTGTCATTCATCGGGTAATACTTTTTACCTTTCGGATTACCATTGAGTCATACAAGGATGTTGAGGTTCTTTTAACTTTTTATAATGATAGCTTTGTTTCATTTTCAAATCTTCAAATGTGTTTAATATATATTTGTTAACAATAATGCTAATGAAGCATTTACATGACACTATAAAAGAACTACCACTAATATAATTAGTTTATCATTTTATTAAGTTATCATTATCCCTACAACACTGTGTTCACAGCAACCCCAACAGCAGAAGTACCACCCCCCAATACTCCACCCACACTGCAGCTCCTATTGCAGTTCCAATACCAGCACCTGCTACAGTTCCCTAGCCATGAATAATACTAACTGACCAATCAGATTACAGACTATAAATATCATACATAAACTTGAAAAAACATAACATAATCTATAAATAAACTACACAGCATTAATTACTAAACACAGTTCAGTTACTATCATATCTCTTTCTCTTAAGTCTCTCGCTCAGTATAACCATGAAAGCGGACACTCCTCCAGTAGCAGTAGCTCCTAAACCACCCCCCACACCAGCTCCAATGCCAGCTCCTATTGCAGTACCTACAATAGGTACTATAGACCCAATGACTCCTCCAATGACAGTACCGACAGCACCTCCGCCTACTGCACTACCCGCTACTACAAACCCTCTCAGTACAAGCCTGGAGACTTCTTTTAAAAACTCACGCACATCAAGACTACATCTAGCAATGCATTTCTCCCATAGATCAACTAGCCAGTTCTCGGTTGTTGGAAATTTCATACAGCTAGTGCTACCAGCTATGCAAAAAGGGATTTTATCTCGTATCTCACTTCTAACTTTACCGGAGATAAAACTACGAATTTGATGCTTAAACTTTGCGATTTCATCTTCTAAATCCTGCGTCTTATCAAGAGGACTTTTATCTTTGATGTCATCCAAATTAATGAAGACGTTAGCAAAAGTGAGTACAACGACTGATCTGTTCCACATCTCTTCAGTCAACATCCTGCCTAATGTTGAAAACATCGAGCGAACATCACCAGTAATCCTTGAATCCATTCGTACACAAACTAATATCAAATGAAACTGACCAGCTTTAGCAATCTTTGATACAACATTTTTATTAGTTCTTCCCTCACAGTCACCAAACCCAACACTATCATATACATTGAGTTGAATGCCCCTGGCTTCTCCTCTATATCCTTTAGTATCACCAGTAACTGGAGTGCCTCCTCCTCCAGTCTGTGCTACCTTCTTACCCAACAATCCATTGACTAGTGTCGATTTACCAGACCCAGCAATTCCCATTACTAATATATTAACAGGTTCCTTCTTATCACTGAGTGCTCTTAACTCATCTATTGATGGAGTAGGATCAAGATCAGTTGTATCTATCAACTGACTACCTTCAGAATTGATAGATGAGCAATAACTAGTGATACTGGGACTGTCAGACATGTTTCCTAGTTCAGAATCAGTTTGGGACGAAACTCACGGGGAAGCAGCTGTGTGGAATTCAATATGTAGCTACTTGGAAGCAGCTGTGTGGAATTCAATATGTAGCTACTTGTGACTATTATAATGATATTCATAGAAGAATGGCGGCTGTGTTGTTTCACTCTTAAAACAGTCTTGCTGTTGCTGATAAGCAGTACAATAGCTGCTGGAGTCAACTAGTCTTCATAAAAGCCATTATTATCAGAAGATCTGGCTCTGTTAGCTTTAAAAAAAAGAATTACCGTAGGTCGGGGTAGGTCGGGATATACCGTAGGTCGGGATATATTCGCGGCTGCAATTATTCGCGGTCATAAAAAATTCAATTAAAAACCATGGAAACTGTTAGAGCATTGCTATGACAATTAAGACCACGTGTTTAGTGTTCAGCCATTCATCTGTTCTTTAGCAGCTTTACTGGAACCATTCACCAATAGCGAGTCCTTCTCTATCTGTTAACTTCTTGTATGGACCTTTACCTCAGAGTTCTTTCAGCCTCTTTGCTGCAAATTGTTGCTGGTCCGCGTGGTCATAGATATTAGAGTAAATGAAAGGGATAGGAAACTCCCGTTCCCGGGAAATCAAGCTACTTTCCCTAGTTAGTAGTTACATCATAAAACCAGAGGAATCCGGATATTAGTATATTCTAGCTGTTATTGTCCATAGCCACTATGGGTCGACTAGCCTGACTAGGCCTCAATTCAGCCCTTGGAACTGTAAGAACTGTAAGCTGAAAAGTAAAGAAAAGTTGCTGTCTTGCTGCGTAACTAGGGAAAGTAGCATCCGTTGCTATGGCACAATACAAAGGAATGCAATTATTATCCCGCCCTTTTATAGTTTCCTATCCCTTTCATTTACTCTAATATCTATGGCGTGGTGGTGATAATAAACCACACCCAAGTCAATAAACATTAACTAGAATGGGTAAAGAACCGGTAAAAGCAGCTCCAAAGAGACCAAGGCTTAGTAACACAAGAAGAACAACAGCTCAAGAACACTGCAGCAAGGTGCTTTCCTTCAATATCGCGCCGTTTTCAATTAAAATAACATCTCGGATTCCATGGTTTTTAATTGAACTTTTTATGACCGTGAATAATTGCAGCCGCGAATATATCCCAACCTACGGTATCAGTTTGGGCGCTCGACCACATGTGCTTATGTAAACTATGACATCAAAAAAACGTCATTGCGGTTAGCTTTGGTATGCCATTGGTTTTATAGGGAGAACCCGGTTCCCAGGGTTTCCAATGGCTGAGAGACCCAAGATTTCACAGATTCTGATGGACTTTGGCAACTAAGAACCTGTGAAAGTTTTATCCTTATTCCACATTCCTATAAAAAGTTATTCCAGTTTTTCTTGTCCCAAACTCAACTGGGATATAGTATAATAATGTGAGCTGACCAATTAGATTAAAGGAAAAAGAACTAATGAATCTCATTTTTAAATGATAGTAAAAAAAGATAAAGAACTTAATAAAAATAGCCAAATCTTAAATAAAAATAATAATGAAGGACTATAGCTACCAATAACACTGGGCCTTTACTAAAATAATAGCCACTAAGCTGACAAAAATAAGAAAAAAATAACAGCTGTAATGCTTTTAAAGCCATTGAGGATCATAAATACATGTACAAATGTACATCAGCATTAATATTATTTCCGTCAATATTAATTTTATCAACCATTATTATATAACCGAGTCCAACCACTGAAGTACCCTTCAGCACACTAGTCAGTAGTCACAGTATGGGCATTTTAGTATTACCAATTGTAGTGTAGGCGGGTATGAACAATTACCAATGGAACTAAAGCAAGTATAAGCATGTTTAGGTTCATCATAAGGCAATCTCTGACAACAGTACTTAGCTATTTCACATCTACAGGATTCCAGTACATATATCTACTGCTTGAGAAGACATATCTTTCATTTACAACAACTAAAAATTGTTTCTGATTAGCTTTATTATTATTCTTATTATTATTATTATAAGCACATGTACCATGACTGAGTTTATAAATTTTAGAATGAAGATCAGCTCGTGCATTGAGTAGAAATTTTGTCATATCATACGTTTCAAGTTAGTTCAAAGTCACCATTTATTAGTGTAGAGGTTCGACCATAAATTATCTTACATGTACATGTGCAGTTTGCATGTGAACATATAATAACACTTTTGTAATAATTTGTGACATTTTAGAGCAACAAGTGGCATATTATATTAATTGATGACGCAATTACATGTATATACAGACACAATGAGATTAGATGGATATGATATTCCAGTTAGAGGAGAGAATGAAGCTACAGAGCTTACAGTGATATTAATGAACAATGTCCTGATATTGAAGAACTAACTCCACCTCCAATCAACCAGTACATGTAATAAATGTATAAGTACATGTGTAGCGGCAATAAATATGAATTTAATACATACACAGTGCATGTACATGTACAGTTGATTATAATACCTTGATGAAGAAAAGTAGAAATATCAGTGATGTATCCGATAATCTGTAATATAAAAAAACAACAAATAAATACTGATAAATATCAGCATCATTAGTCCATCACGTACCGGTTCTACTAACTCAAAGTGTTTCTGAGCATGAACGTCTTGAAGGTGACAAACATAGTCAAATGATATTTGTCGAAACTGAGCCTTCTCTCGTTCAAACTGATCATTCTATAATATACAAAAAAAAAATTTATGTATAACATACTACACAAATGTGTTAATAACATACATTGTAATTGAAATTTAATGTAAAATTCTAATTATGAGCAAATGTAAACATACAGTATAGTTTATAGCGGCTAAATTTTATTGTATACATGTACACGTATTTTTTCCCATTTCTTAATTGTAGGATAAATATTTCCAGTTGAAAAAGGTGCTCCTTGATGCTGCTGTACAATATGGCAGCTCAAAAATGGAACAAAAGTATGCAATCTTTTCTAAACAAAAACTTCTCCCAACAAAATACATCCGCAATTCACACAGCAGCAGCAGCTCAGTGTAAAATTTATCCCAGTACCTGTAGTACTGTACATATGCACATGTATATTACAACTTTTATGAAGTGATAAAGTTTGAAATTGTGATAGTATGTGTATAGTACTGGTAAACATGCTGAATTCAACCTGCAGCTAATGTACATATATATATATATATATACAACATGTACATGTACACTAAATGCATGTCTATCGCATTTACATGCAATTGTAACTTGATACATTACAATGTGTACATTTGTTTATTATTATTTAATTACAATTTTCCATCATTCCATTATTTAATTATTATTACTATTTTCATTTTGTCACGCATTTACATGTACAAGTTAAATAACATTTTTGATTAACAACCATAAAAAGTATAAATACATGTACATGTACATCTACACTGTACATGCACCTATATAGCACATGTACATGTACATGTATTTGTATAAGCATCATTTTCCCATGGGGTAAGGTCATATCTGATAACACTACATGTTTACACAACGTAATCTTTAGTTTAGAACAAAGTCTAATAATAATAATCAATTTGTTCTTGGAAAACACAATAATAAATTACTAATTTTAATAAACCATTAAACTATTAAACTATTTTAAAAATTTTAATAAACAGTTATTTCTTAACAGGAAAAAACTAAAAGAAATTAACAATTTTAATATGAGCAGTTATTTCTTAACAGGAAAAATTAAAGTTAATAAAACAAAAGTGCATCATAAAATGACAAGGCAATACATTTTAAAAAGTGTTTGCATTTAATATAAGTACTAGGCTAGGCTATTTGTACTCGGAAATATGTGAACCATTATGTTTGTTAGATTATATGCCAGTGGGTGTTTATTTCTTAACAGGGCAAACAAAATATAAAATAAAAATGCCAAAAACGGAATCAAGCTAAGCCACAAAGCTAAAAAGCTAAGCCACATGTACTGTATATGCAGCAATCTTAAGTTGGATTGTAAATGTACTTTTTTTACTATGTTATATAACTAAACTATTAATAAAAATGCATATACAGTATACATATACATGTTACATGTATGTGTGTCTGAGTTAAAAATGGACGGATAAATAATAGAACATAATAGCATACAGTATTAGTGTACATGTAAATTAATAACAGTTAATACCTCAGGGACATCCACTACTCCTGGATTACCGTCCTTCCTCTTGGGGGGTTTGGTGCTCAAGAAATTATCTAAAAATGCGTAATACTTCTTTGAAGCATCGTCAAATCTCTTTTTCTCTTCCTACATAAAAACAATAATAATACTAGTGTACTAAACAGTTTTACTAATAAGATTAAAACATACAAATAGACTAGAGACTATACAGTAATTACTAACTAACAGGTATATAGCAAAGGTTCATTTCTTATACTTACTAGAGTCTTTTTCATGTGTTCTATTCTGAACTGCTGTAGTGTTTTAAGTAACCTGACTCTAATGGCATTAAGCTACATTGAGAGCAAAAAAAACAAATGAAATACTTATACATTGTATACATATGTACATGTATATTGTTAGTAATTTTGGTGTTAGTTATAATTATCATTATTATGCTTGCAAACCTGTATTAGCTATACCAGTAACAATTAAACTACAGTGCTATTAAACCAGTATTCATTAAACCAGTATTATTAAACCAGCATTATTAAACCAGTATTATTAAACCAGTATTAATGAAAACAGAGCAGTATGTACTCATTAAACTAGTATTATTAAACCAGTATCATTTAACCAGCATTATTACACCAGTATCATTAAACCAGCATTATTAAACCAGTATCATTTAACCAGCATTATTAAACCAGTATCATTTAACCAGCATTATTAAACCAGTATCATTTAACCAGCATTATTAAACCAGTATCATTAAACCAGTATTAATTAAACCAACCAGTATTTTGGTAAAATACACGCACATATACATGTCAAGCATGACATGACTTACCTATACTGCTTATACAAACCTACACAATTATTTACAATTTAGTCACTTATATGGTACATAATCAATTCATATTCTAAAAACAATCAGTACATTAATCAACAGCACCCCATAATGTACGTGTACATGTACATGTATGTACGTGTGTACATGTATGTACATGTATAGCTGTTTAATAACAAACCATATTGTGTCTGTAGTCTTCAATCGATAACAACAAACGGGAAAACGACTGGAGCGAAGTAGCTAAAATGAAAATGAACATAATGAATAAAGTCACTGAAGAATGTACCATGTAAATGCATATGCCCATTCCATTCCCATAAATATAATTAAAAGTTAACAATTAAATGTACATGTGCCATAGAGCTGGTATTGTTGATAAATTTGGAGATTCGATGGCCATTAGCCAAAATAAACCCTATCATTTTGAACAGTTTATGCACATACGTAATGGAATATCATCACAAATTTATTAATTAAAAATCTTGCCACCAATCGTCAAAAATTTAGCGATTCAGCAAAATTTAATTCCCCTTCCAAAATCACCAGCTACATGTATATATATGGTATATGATTAATAGGCTTCTTATTATTCATGTTACTTTGTAATACAATTACCCTCAGCACAACAACAAGAGCTAGTACATGTATATGGGAGTGTACTGTACATTATGAATGAGTATAAGTAGAGTACATATGTTGACACACATGTACACAACCATACACGTACAAGTACATATGTACACTGTACTAGCTCATTGTCATGTGTGGCCTTCACTAGCTGTTACTACAATGTAGGTCAAAGAACTATTTTGCACATGCAACAACTAAACCAGCTTTAGTAGGCAAGCCGCAACAAACATACATGTACATGTACATGTACACTGCATGTATTGTACACTACATGTAGCTGTTATTTAGGATTTTGGCAACAACATGTACATGTACATGCACGTGTTGTTCACATACTGTAGGGATGAATTAGATACAGTAGTTACTAATATTATGCACTAATTACATGCAGTTATTAATTATAGTTAATTAGTGAAACATGATCTTCAATTAATTAACATACAGTACAAAATATCTACTGTACATACATCGACATCAGTACATTGTATATTGTACATGTACTTACAAATTCTTTGTTCGTCTTCAGTTTGTTCTGTGCCGATTGTCTTGAAATGGAACTGACTCAAAGCATGACCAAACGACTGCTGGACTCTTGAAAACTCTACAATATTAAAACATGAGTAAATTAACATACATACACACCCGTCCATATACATGTACATGTACATATGCATGTAATAGGCTGCATGCAGATTCCCTACTCTATTAATCTTCTTGCAGTCTCTCTCTCTCTCCCTCCCTCCCTCCCTCCCTCCCTCCCTCCCTCCCTCCCTCCCTCCCTCCCTCCCTCCCTCTCTCCCTCCCTCCCTCTCTCTCTCCCTTTATTACTCCACTCTCTCTTCCTCTCCCTTTTCAATCCACTCTGGGAGTGTACACAGATTTTGTACACACACATACAAGTACATGTAGTACAAGTGTATACAGCAAAGCACATAATTCTATTATAGTGAACAAACAATATAATAAGAACTAGTACATGTATATATAGCCAAAGCTTATGCCCTCAATTAAAGAGCTTAGTTATTCACAGATTAATGTAGTGTAAATAGCTTCATTCACCAATTAAGTGACATAAAGGACATGATAACTCAAAGTACATTGTACATGTATATATATGTACATGTACTTGTCTGGATAGGATGTCATGTAGGTAGTACATGAATCTCACTTTTAGCATGATTAAGAATCAAGACATATACAGGTACATGCATGCATGTACACGTATGTATATTGTGTACATTTGTATTGTAGCTCCCATACTGTAGCATAATCAAAATAATTTGCAGTTTCAAGCTAACTTAAATTATAGTGAATATATAGTGAATCTATATGCATGTTGTTAGTGATTTCATAATAAAGCAGATGTGAATGCAGTCTACATACAGAAGATAATATGAAATTTCAACAATTATGACAAAAAAACATTCCAATATAGCATGAATGTTGACATTCTGTGCCAGTTTAAAGTAACCCTATGACTATTCAGATAACAATACCTAATAATTCAATCAGCTATACAATACGCCACAACTGTCATCACAGGTAACCAAAGGAATTACAATGGGTGTGATTATGGCTGTAAGGTCATTTATCATTTGAAATGATCACAAGATTACCCATACTTCCTTATTTAGGACCACACTATTTGTTATGTGAATGCTATAAAAAATAGTTGTTCTTAATACAGAGCTGCACTCTTTTCATAAGACTACATGTGCTTTTGTACAGGCCTGTATTTAAATCAAAATAATGTCCTCATTATAAATAGCTCACAATGAGAATTAAGTTCCAAAAACAGGGTCAAAAACATCAAGTTGTAGAGGTTATTATTTCTCAAATAAACAATGTGTATCTGGTAGAAATTGAACTTCCACCAAAATTTGCTGGAATCAGCTCAAACTTGAATGAAATAACATTCATAAATTTGCAATTTTATTGCAATTATATCCAGAGAAAAAACTTAGCGGTTGCAAGAAAAAATTTTGCTTGCTAAAAATAAAATACTATACAGCATGTGACTTCAAATTGACAAATGACAATCACTAGAATTTACATACAATGTACATGCAATCATCAAGTAATGACACAACTCAAATAAGCAAATTCATATTCTTTTATTTTGGCATTACAAAAAGAAATCATCTCATTACAATCAGACAAAAGCTGAATGATGTGAATATAAATGAATTATTTGTACTGAAGACAAAAGCTAATCTAGACTTTATTTGCTTAGTGAGTGAATTAGTGGTACTAGGCTAGAATATGTAAGACTTCACCTTCCGTTTTCTGTATCATATTATCGCACTCTTTCACCAAGTTTTTGACGACTTTGGTATTGCTCTCGAGCTCCTGCTCGTAGAGGGCAATGGTCTCGCGGAAAGAAGGCGAATCCAAGAAACAGTCGCTGTATTCCAAAGGAGGCAGGCCGGTCGTCATGTCTGAATTTTGAAAAAGAAAGAGAGAGGTGAAAGGAACTCGGACAGATGTGAAGAGGAGAAAGAAAGAGCCTCACGTGACATAGTAGGAAGAGGCGAGGCTGTTAGGTGTGTTCAAAACTTCATATTTTTTGCTTGACTGTTCATCTCTTTTGCTGCATGTAGAGTCGAGGCGAGTATTAATATTAGGCCTCCTTTTTCTTCATAGTGTAGCCATTGCTAGTAAACTCTGGATGTGGTCATGTTGCGCTCATCCACAAAGTATGATTCGAAATGGATAAAGACTAATCTCCAGGTATTTCTTTGATCTATTAATACATGCATGTACATGTATACACAGTCTTTTATCAGTAGATGGCCACTTTGTGAGAGAGAGAAAGAGAGAGTGTCATCTGTTATTCTGATAGTCTTGTGTGTACATATGTATATACATGTACATAATTATTATAATCAATACACATCTTATCTCCTCTATAATACAATATATATAATACATGTACATCAAGGTATACCTTGATGTACATGTGCACCTACAGTTGTACGAATACAAATTGTTTTATCACTACATAATTTTGTGGCACATTCTTTATTGTTGTTAACTACCTCAGCCAGGTGGTATATAGCGCTAAGAAAATACCTTGATATCTCTTTAACACTTACATGGACATGTTTGTTAATTTTAACTGTCATAACTTTATCATACTCTTAGTACAGAGGTTAGAAATTTTCCCATTACATAATAATTCAAACATTGCTTTTATCTACATGTACATGTACATGTACAATGTAATATAAATGTATATTATATTTATAATTCTTAATATTTTACTACAGTTGATATTCTCCGATGAGGATTTAAATCGGATGTGGAGTGAGATGGTGACAGATGGTGAGATAATGACTGATCAGTCTTATCCCAATGACAGTGATAATGGAGACACCGAGCCTGGCGGAAGTGCTGGGTCTGATAAAGCTAAAAGTGATTCTGAAAGTGAACAAAATGAAACCGTTGACAAAGAGAATAAGAAGTCAGAGTTCAAGCCAATACTTGAAGAGTGGACATGGGGAGAGGTAGTTAAAATTATATTAAAATATTATTATTATTAATTTGAAAATTATTAAAAATAAAGATAATTGTTTTTCTATTGCTATGCATAAATTTTCCATGACATGTACCGTATAGCGGGAAATTTTGGAGGGACTAAAATTTGGTGAATTGCTAAATTTTGGTGATTGGGGAATTTTTATTTAACAAATTTGTGGCCACGTGCCATTGAGCATGCATATAATGGCTCAAAATGGTGGATTTTAATTTTGGCGATTGGCTATCAAAACGCCAAAGTTGCCAAAATTAATCCCCTACAAAATTTCCCGCTATACAGTATTATTATTTGAAAATTTTTAGGAGCCAACCCTGGAGCAGCTGGTTGAAGCTCAGAGAGTTGTTATTTCAGAACAGGAAGACTTGAATAATGAGGTAGCCCTGACTTCGCTCTCTATAAACAGATTGAATAAGAGAGTGAGAGTGATGGAGAGAGTTTTTACAGCTTTATCAAACAGGTGAGATAATAAGAGTGAAGTGTATTACATGTACAATGTATGTGTATACTTAATTTTAGATAATAACTATTGCAGTGTAATTTATTGACTTGTATTACATTTGTGTATACACTTGTATTTTCATTATGCTCCTTTAGAAACAGTGTAACTGTACAAGATGACAAAGAGGTCGTGCCAATGGCCGTATCTTCTGTAAAACAAGAGAGTAAAGCTCCAGCCACTTCTTCAAAAAAGTTAGTAGAACATTAAATATTTGACATAATTATTATTATACCTGTATTAATTATAATAGTAATCAAGGGACTGGTACTGAAGGTCTGGCTAGATTAGGAGCTAAAACTGCTCTGTCTTTTGCTTTTGCTTTTTTACGACGAGCTTGGAGATCTGGAGAAGACAAGGACTTGTGTAGCGAGGTCCTTCAGCAAGCATTGGATATACTCTACGAGGTACCAGTACCGTCTCTCTTTAACTCCTCCGATATTTCCAATGTTTGGCTGGAAACCGTTGACCAGTGCATGTCGTTTTTGAAATCAGTCTGCTGTGGGTAAGTGACTAAGTATACTGTACATCTACATGTATATTGCATGTATATTGGCAGTTTGGTAATGTCTGCAATATACATGTACATGTAGAATTCACCATTTTTGTTTCATTCTGAGCATGCTCAAAGACTATGGTCCTGATAAATCACCATTATAAAAATCTGCATATTGCAAATTTTATCGCCAAAATTTAACTCCTACCTACATATATTTTTCCGGCTCTATATTAATTCTAAGTCTTATTGACGTACATTTTTGTATTTCTAGTTTTCAAAAGGAAGAGCAACTCATCCCTTTAGAAGATCGTCAGAAAGCACTATCACTCCTCACTGAGCTGGCCCTCCAGAGAGGAACGCTGGATTGCATTCTTGACTGCATACTCCTCTTGCTTCATTTATCAGACAAAGCCTCACGATCTAACGAACTATTGAAAACGGAACACGACAAGGAACCTTTCTTCCCGGCGGAAGAAGAGCTCAATTATCCACTAGTGCCTTTTCTAAGAAGAATATCGAACATCCCTTCATCGTCAGGTCTTTATATTCCACTCCAGACTGATGAGGTTAGTAATGCACAATTCAGTACTTTCTTATACCATATAAGTGGTTATTTTCTCGGGTTGCAAATTTCGTGGATTTTGCGGATTCCTTCCTGATTCCCAAAAATAAAATCCGCAAAAATCAATTTAGGACTGTACCCACATGGCACATGTGGTAGAATTTACAAAATTAAAATCTGTGAATTGGAATTTTAGTAGATTTTGCAAATCATAGGATCTGTGAAAATTACTGGCTATACTGTAATATACACAGCCAAGAATTACTGTATAGGGCTTATTTCACTGGTAATAAATTTTGCTAATTTTGCACTTTCATTGAATTTGCAGAATTAAATTCCACAAAAGTGTGGGACATTAGGAAAAATGGCTGCAGAAGGTAAAATTTGCGAAAATTTATACCAACAAATAGCAAATCTGAGCAGATTCGCAAAATTTTATACCAACAAAATAAAACCACTATACAGTATTACTATTATGCTGCTGTCCAAAATCAATGAATCAAACCTGCATACTAAGTACTGATAGGCTATTAGGACTGTATCAATTACATGTAAGTCATCAGGATTGATTCATTGATTTTGGGCAGTAGTCCTGTATCACTATCATAATTCTTGGCTGTGTGTGTACTATTATTTTTATAGGCTTGCTATTCAGGAGATCATCCTAGTCCTACCAAGTCATTCTTAGACTTTGTCACTCTTCCAAATGATGACTCCACAAGACTTGGATTGAAGCAGTGTGCCACCATTGCTCTCTCTCATCTTGATAGACTGGCTGAACCTTACATATGCTCTGAGGAGGTACTACATGTAGTGAATGATCTATATATCTGCTATCAGGAGTACATGTACATGTATATGATAGTTTAAACCCTTATGTACTCCTGCTGCTATTCTGCTATAACTTCCTATGTACATGTACATGTACTATATACAATGTAGTACATGATTATATGTACATTAATGAAGTTCCCATTACTCAATGATGCATGTACATGTACTAGTGGAAGTGCACCTGCATGCACATACACTGTACTTGTACATGTATAAATGTAAAAGTATGCACCTGCATGTACGTAATGCTTTTGTTTTTATTATGTACATGTACATGTACATTACCCCCTGTAAGCATATGAAAATGAACACAATCTTATCCATATACATGTACATGTACTATAAGCTGTACAATTACTTCCAAGTGACATTAGTTTAAATGACATTTATATTTTATACACTTACTAGCTGTTTATGCTAATAATCTTATACATGTAGGTACATAAGTATGTACCATACAAGATGATTTATTGGGCGGAGTAATATTTGGTGGATTTGCTTGTGGAAAGAAATTGGCAGATTTTATATTGGCAATTTTGTGCCACGTGCCATCAAGCATGCTTAGATTGAAACAAAATGTCGGATTATATATTGGCAATTTCTTCATAGAACTGCCAATCGCCAATAATTCATCTTGTATGGTATTAATTTTTAATAATTATTTTATAGACAATTGATGGAACTGTAAAGCGTAAAGCTTCTGAGATTGCTCACTGGGGTAGCAACAGGAGTGAAGGAGGTCCGTCAATAATACAGACTTCAAATATTTTGCTTGAAATTGGAGCAAAGGAATTTTACTCATCTCCAAAGCATCGAGTGGTTCTTACAGTTCATGGAACTGTCTTTTATGTGATGGATGCGTCAATGGGTGACTTCACTGTTGAAGTAGGTTTAAATGAATTGCCATTATTATTATTATTAATATTTCAAATTTATATAAATTAGCAATTATTCTTTCCTGGAGATGAAGAGATTATTCAAATTGATCATAATCCTTCCGGAAATCACATTCTAGCACTCACAAAGGATGGGAAAGTGTACAGCTGGGGACAAGGAAGCAACGGTGTACTGGGAATTGGAAACACAGAGTAAGAAAGACATATGTACTACATACATGTAGTATACTAATTGTAGTATACTAATAGTATACTAGTGAAGACTTGTTCATTGTACATGTACCATAAATGTTCAAATAAAAGCCCTAGCATTATAGGACAAAAAATTTGCACAAAGCAAAGTTAAAAATGCCAAAACTTAGATTTGATAAAAACTTAGTCTTAACAACTTAGGTCATTTGTGAGTTATGACATTCTAAGATGGTGGCACCTACAATGTACATGTACATGTATTGAGTAAAATATGCATACATGTGTCATGTACATGTATGTACATGTATTAGTACCAGGTGTTTATTGGAGCCAGGCTTTTATTTGAACATTTACAGTATGTATATATACTATTATTGTTATTTGTGAATGGTGTATTGTAGATCTCAGACTGCCCCTACTGCTGTAGCTGCACTCTCTGGTGATAGGATTGTTCATATTTCTGCTGGTAGCATGCACAGTGCTGCTGTTACTGAAGATGGTGTTCTTTATACCTGGGGCAAAGGCAGCTATGGCAGACTTGGACATGGTTAGATAGTAGATAGTAAATAGTACATGTAGATAGTAGATACTAGATACCGTATAACTAGAAAATTTGGTGGAGTAAAACTTTGGCGAAGTTGACGAATTGAGGTCCATTCTCTAAATTTTTAGTCTCCAATTGATAGAGTTCCATATAAACATACACAGAGTTAAAATTTTGCCAAAATTTTGACCTCTAAACCTCTTTTGAATTCAATTCGCCAAATTTTAACACTCCTAATTTTCAAGCTATACAGTAGTACATGTAGATAGTAGATGAATAAAAAAAGATAGTAGATACATGTCAATGCATGTACATGTACAGTATAATTGAAAAGGCTAGTAGTCCCTTGCATGTGTAGGTGTATATAATTTCAAATTTTGTTTTCAAGATTACTGTGTACAGAGTATGCACTGTATCATCACCACAGTTTGTTTCCCTATATATAGCTTGGGTTTTGCAACTACAAAGATACATGTACATGTACATGTTAAATTAGCATTGGTAATTAGTGCATTATAATGAGATTTATTTTTGTGTACATGTATAATGATATATGCAACATATACATGTAGAACTCGACTGTTGTGCCAGCATTCATTGCACAAAATTATAAGGTACATGTACATGTACATACAAGTACACAGGGCTCTGCCTAGAAAAAAATTAGAGGTGGTTGGACCGTTGGAGACTAATATTGCTCCTTTTAAATTCATATACATCATACTAGTGACTACAATATCATGCTTTATGTATGGTTATTAGTATTAATTGGATGGTTGGTCTAAGTGATGAACTGGTTGGTTCATTTGTTGAGGTGGTTACCCCAACCACCCCCTACCATCATAGGCAGAACTATGTGTACATGTACGATAATTAATTGACAGCTTATAATGAATGCCCATAAATAATGTACACTCTACGCAGTACATTTAAGATACCATATACAGTAGGGCATTTCACTTTGTGTGAATCATTATATGTACATTGTGTATGGCCCTATAGGTAATGCTGAAGACAAGCTTATTCCAACAATAGTAGAAGGGCTGAATGGAGTCAAGATAGTCCAAGTTGATTGTGGAAGTGGTGATGCTCACACACTAGCACTAGATGACACAGGACAGGTGTGGTCCTGGGGTGATGGGGACTATGGGAAATTAGGTAGACCTGGTAGTGATCAGAATAAAGTCCCCAAGCCGATTTCTGGTATTGGATCCACGTCACCGGTTGTTAAGATTATATGTGGGAACCAAATCTCAATGGCGCTTACCAAGGATGGTAAACTCTATTCATGGTTAGTAAGGTTGTGTTGATTAATATATCGTATAGCGGTTTTTTTTGTGGATAATAAATTTTGCAAATGACCTGTATCTGGAAGTTTGTGGAATTAATTTTTGTGAATTTCCACTATTCTGCCATCTTGTACCGTATTACATTGATTTTCAAGGAATTTAATATTGCGAATCTTGAAAAATCTGTGAAATTTGCAAAATTTGTTATCCTCGAAAATAACCCGCTATATGGTACATATTGTGTGTGATTTACATGTACATGTACATGTATTTCCTAATATTCACTTGTACATGCATGTACATGCTGTGACTCATTTGGTCTTGCACCCTTCCAACTCTGGGATTTCTAGAGGAAAAAGTTGCTCAAAAATTGGGCCAGCAACCTTGCCAAATTTTGTCAAAAATGGCAAGGAGAGTATTCCCCATTTTTGTAATTTTTTTTCTGGTGCATAATATATGTCCTTATGCTGTGTATTAACTTTGAGCTGATTTTGATCAAATTTGTATTTTTTATGAATTTTTAAAGTTTCTCCAAATGCCGTATACTGTATTGTAGTGCTTGTCAGCTCATAAAGATCATGCTGTTTAGCTCACTTAGAACCACATACTTTACTGAGGAGAAAGTTATAGTGAATTTGGCCTTTGATAAAGTACATGTATTTTTATGCATTAATTGTTATCAGTTCATGACTATTGGTAGAAAAATTAAAAATAAGGCTCTACTTACATGATAATAGGGAATGTGGATAGTTATAATAATAAGGTTATACTGTATAAAATTATTGTGTGTAAATGTGTAATTTATGTTTCATGTAATTCATGTATGTGCATAACAATAACAATAACATATACATACATGTACATACATGTATATTTGTTTTGCAGGGGTTGTGGTGACACCTATCAGCTTGGTCACGGTAATCAAGAGCACGTTCGTCAGCCAAAGCTAATCGAAGGATTATCAGAGACTGTAGTGAGCGATGTGAGTGTTGGTGCCCAGCACTGTGTGGCACTAACGACTGATAGTGATGTCTATGCTTGGGGAAAGAACTCTTCTTTTGAAGTGAACGAATCCGGTGACATTATATCTTCGCCGCTAATGATAGAGGCTGCCTCTGGTAAAGGGGCTTTATTAATTGCTTGTGGTGCTTCTGAAGTACGTACTGTGTATACATTAAAACTTTTTATAAGTATTTTATTTCTTATGTAGACTTTTGTATCTTTCAGTAAAAGTCCGACCCCAACCGGAAAAGAGCTTCCCTTCATATTGAATGTATCAACTGTCACTTTTGAGAAATTGGATCAACTCTTGAAGATTGTTTGTGATAAGTTGGATGGGAAAGGTCCTAACACTCACCCTCCATCCCAAGAGCAGGAATGCATGGCCATAGCTGCTCTTAACCTGCTTAAACTCCAAGCAAGTTCCCTTAAATACTTTCTATTTTAATACATAAAATTTTTAAATATCTAATGATTTAAATACATTTAAGTAATTGTATTTTTATAAATTCTTAATAGAATTAAGTAAACATTAACATTGCATTTTTACATTCTTTAAATACATTTTAAAAATACATTTTTGAATACATAAATTAAATAATATAATTTCATTCTTTTTATAGTTATACACTGCTACATCGTCAGGTATACCTTCTGAGTCTATTGGTCTCCAGCCTGGCTCGACTCTACTCCAGTCAATCAAGCATTTTGTGATTGATCTTGCTGGTGAATCTGGCGTCATACCTTCTGTTCAAAATGCAGCACAGTCCGTTCTAAGAAGTGGCTGGGCAATATTACTACCAACAGTATCAGAGAGAGCCAGTGCCCTCTCTGGCCTACTGCCAAGTGGTAATGATGCATACACATAATATACAGTACATGTACCATATAGTGGAAATTTTTTGTGGATTTTACATTTTTTTCAAAATTTAAAACATAAAATCACAAAAAGTTGATTTAATACAGTTCAAGATGGCTGAAAAATAGAATATTGCGAAAGTTTAAACCATGAATTGGTTTGTGGATGGATCCGCAAAAAAATTTTTGGGCCACAAAAATTTTTGACTACACTGTAGTGATTGTACTCTGAAATTACAATTACTATTATCCATTAGGTCCTGTGACAGATTCTTTGCCTAAAGGACAGCAGTTCATGATTCATTTGTTAGTGAACAGTCTGATGGCTGACCATGGCTTGGAGAATGCTTTAATGTCTGCCATTACTTTTGAAACTCGAGAGCAAGACACAATTTCCGAAATACTAAGTGATGATGCTGTGCCTCTGTTACACTTGGTCCATCAACTCATTGGAAATTCTATTAGTATGAGCCTGTCATACTTTAAGCAGGTACATCATGTACATTATACAATTTACATGTACACATTAAATGGACTAGCAGCATAATTATTTTAAGATTGTGGTTAGATTTTTGAGTGGCTTCTTAATGTCTATTGCCTGGTATAGTTTGTATGACTGCTTTTGTTAATTTTATATTTTAGATGTTTTGGGACATTTGTGTATGTTTTTGGGACTTCATTTTATTTGCATTATTTACTATTTAGTGATAGTAATTTGATTATTCCTTCTACATGTAGCTCCTTCAGACTTGTGACATAAAGAAACCTACTGTCATTGATGACTCTGAACTTAAGTCAGACTCCTCTGCTAAAGGATTGCTGCAATTATTTCAGAGGCTACTCCTATCAAATGTATTCTCTTGCAGCAAAACGAATGAAGGTTTATCTTGAATATTAATACCGTATTTTCTCAAATAAAAGCTTGGGCATCTATTTCTTTGAAAAAATTTAAAAAATAAATGAAACTTGAGGTAACAGTGAGATTTAAACCCGAGACCTCATGCACAAGACTTCAGGAAACCTAAGGAAGTACATGTACATGTATCTACAAGGCATCTATATTATTTGAAGACTAGATTTATGTACAATGTATTTATACTTCCATTTTATTGCTACCCTGGAGTTTATTTGCACCCAGTTTTTATTTGAGGATATACGGTATTTAAATTTACATGCTTTTTTATGTTTGTATTGTAGCACAAACAAGAGGTGCTCTCTCTGTATTAATAAAATACATTGCCATGGTCCAAGAATACTCCAATCAAGTCCTTCATTCTGCTATAAGAGTTGGTTCACTTGGGCCGAGATATTTCATCCTTGCATCATCTGCTTTGTCTAAAGGAATGTTTGGGGCACTGCTGCCTGAATTAGCTGTGGGTCTTGTTCTCTTACAGTTGAAAGCTCCTCTACTTATATCTGAGTCTGACTGTGTCCCTTTACTTAGTGGGCTGCTTGATTTACTTGATAAATTTAATCGTTTGTCTCCTAACTGCACTAAACTGGATGAAGAGGACATGGCATGGCCTGATGTTAAAAGTACGTGTGTGTTTGTAGTTTCTAATAATTTTTGTGTTTTTTTAAAGATATTAGCTTTGCGGATGCGTCATGTAGAGTTGTCACTAAAAGTGATATTGAGAAGCACAATAGTGAAGAAGGTGAAGGGAAGTGGCTTATTATTAAGGGAAAAGTGTATGATGGGGAACAGTTAGCATCTCAGGTGAGTCTACTACATGTTCATAATGCATCTATATTTGTGATACCAATTATACTATTCATGTACATGTATACAATGTACTGTACTTGGTAAAGAATTACATTGTACTTTACGCCACTGTTTTAATAATAATTTAATAATAATAGTACATAGGCTGCATGCGTTCAAATTGTCAAGTCTTTGAAATTTTATGTTTTTACATGCTCAAAAATTAATATTTGTGTTAGCTAATTTTGTGTTCAGGCCATAGTCTATTCACTAGTGGTGGGTGATATATTGAAATTTTTATCAATATAAATGATATTTTACAGCATTGATACTTATCGGTATCAAAATTTTGAAGAAATTTGGATTAATACCTTGACCATGCCCATTTATTAAGGTTAAATGATATTAATGAAGAAAATTGTAATACAGTATATGTCATATATTTTGCAGTGATTAAATTTTGTGATTTTCGCATTTTGGAAAAATTCGCAAAATTAAAATCCACAAAATAGCGTGCTGATTGTATAGTAGGTGTGGTAATTACATTAAAATTATGAAATTTTTATTTACAAATACAAAAATGCAGCCAAATATGGCATATAATGGTAAATAAGTTACTGACGTATATTACACACACATGGTTACACGTGCATGAAAACATTGATGAAAACAGTCAATAATAAGAGGTGTGACTCCATAGGTGTGGTCTAAATATTGTATCGAAACTATCGATAGTACCAATATGGGCTGATATTGATTGGTATCAGATTGAATCCATTTTTGCCAGTATCGCCCAGCACCTACTATACATAATCAAGTGACATTAGAAGCGGTTTAAATTTTGTGGATCAAAAATAGACAGGGCATTACACCCTTTCAAAAATTGTAATGAAACATCTATATGAGCCTTGACTTATAACTTACATATATCTCAATTGTACTCTTGCTTTTATACAATAGATTTTGTAAAAGCTATTGTGGGTTGCCTTGTTGCCTAGGATACAGTGTATACATACACCCACTGCTAGCAATGAATATGATTATTATTAATTTTAATATTCATAGCACAATGTTTATGCATAGTATAATCCACTTTACACTTGGCCTTTACATGTTACTTGTATTTCATTAGACACCTTGCAATACTGACATGCTCTCTGACTATATTGGTAAAGATGCAACTGAAGCTTTTGAAACAGTTGGACACACTGAGCACGCACTGGAACTGATGAAGCAGTTTTATGTTGGAGACTATTTTGAAGTATGAAAAAAACTTAATTGTTTTTTTTTAATATGGGACTCTTTATAGGGAGGAGAGGGTTCTGAAGGATCAAAATCATCAGAAACTTCATTGATTGTTGATACAGAGAGGACACTGGCTTTCTTGCATGGTCTTAGAGCCAGTCACATGTTTAAAAGTTTACCTATTCTCCCTGAGGAGGAGGCTAGCGAAGAATGTCTCTCGATGGAGATATTTGCTGGTGGATTGGAGAACCAGTCTCAGCTAATGGGTGTCAAGGTAATGCAGGATAAAATGTATCCAACTCATCAAACTGATGCTGGACTCTCATTCATAAATGGTCTTGTTCATCCCGAAGCACAGAATGAGACTGTGACTCAGTTTTTGACGATTGTCCATAGCTACTGCAAACAAAAGAACCTTATTCTTGCCTTGACCGAGCACAATCCTGATCACCCAGTGGAAAGATTCTCACGAATGTTCATGGCTTGTTTACTAAAGCTTCACGACCTAGTTCAGCTTGCATTACTACTAGTGACAGCTGACAATTCTTCTACTCAATTCCCATCGGCACTAGGCGACATTTGTAAACTGGTCTATGATGCAAAGTTGCTCCTAGTTAAATCAAGACAAGAATCGTCTTGTACTTATGATGAGATTTGTGGTCCTGCCATCGATCGTTGCTTATTTCTTATTGATAACATTCGGTCTCCTGCTACTGATGTTCATTCCATGCTTCATCGTCACCAGCTGTCTTGTGTGTCCTCTCGGTGGAAGAGAATGGCTCAGAAAGCTCTCTCGTGGCAGCATAAGAGACAGGAGGTTTCATCAGAGTCTGTGGATTCATCCGCCATTAACGATGAGAAGGAGTCTCAGATGAAAGTTTATTACAAAAAGCAAATGTCGACAGAGAAGAAATCATTGGAACAAACTCACGAGGTATTTAATATTAAATTATTTCTACTTTGATGAGCTCCCATGAAGATTAGGTTATTTTTAAGCCTTTTCACACTAGCACAGATTTTTAAAGTGCTTTGATGTGCATTGATTTGAAACCACTCTAGTGTGAATACAATTAATACGCATTACTTTGGCGAGTGTGAAAAGGCCTTTACTTTAACGATAGTTACATGTAGATGAACTGCCCGTACAGACTCACTCAATTACCAGGGGCTTTCCCCAACAATAATTTTTAAAATTTTTATTTATGTATAGAATTCGTCTTGGACTCCAGTTACACTTGAGATTGCAAGCAGCAGAAAGTTCAAGTGGTTGAGGGAGAGAGTTGGCACTAGCTCACATCATACTCTGCTACTTAACCAAATAAAGAACTTTGTATTCACTGATGATGTTGATGTCAAAATGCTGTGTACTGTTCTTAAGCGACAGGTAGATAATATTATAAATATATAATAAAGTAGAATATGTAGAATGAAGATCAAAAGACACACGCCTTTGTTGTAGATGGTAGAGGTGGTACTAACATATTGCTAGTATTCAAATTAAATTATTGTTAATTGAATAACTAAATCACAACACTGCCAGCACTCTACAGCACTGCATACTAGCTCAATGAAAAAAACCAGCTGCTAATGTAAAATTTGATGCCACAAAAATTTTTAAAGTAGCACCTACATGTACATGTACAAATCGACAATTATACATGTACAAATGAGTACATGCATCGATCACTACAAGCACTTATTCTGTAGTAGTAAATTGAAGCATGATTTATGGTGTATGGCCAAATACAATGTACCTGGTAAAAGTAGCAAAGATTATGCATGTACACGTATCTCAATTTAAGACTCTTTACATGTTTAAACCAGTTACATGTACACATGTATGACACTCTTTAAGATTTTTTTATTTAAACAATAACATCATTAAAATTACAGGCCCATGCTACAATGCATGAGTCTCATAATACCAGAATCTACATGTTCTATAGCTATACACTGCTGTCATGACACCTTCATTAACACCATTAACAATCAACACTAGTATAATTATAGTACATATCTTTATTTCTTTTTTATTTTTTTTTTATTATTTTTAAAATTTTTTTTCCTAGACTCTAAGAGCTGAGCAGAGATTAGCCGGAATTAAAGCAATGCTTCAAATGCTCTCACTGGAGAGTCTCATACCATCAGTCAAATACTCCATACTCTCTGGGTGGCATGGAATGCTAGGAGAGCCACAGGATGAGTAAGCTATTATTCCATATATGGAGTATAATAGCATTAATATGTTACAATGATACTGATTATAGTAATAAAATAGTATTTAAGCCACTCCAATAAGATTCATAGTTTCCTATTGCATATAAAAAATAGGTGGGTCTAATGCAGGCGGGGTTGTTTAATTTATTTAATTTATTCATTATGACCTGTGTAAACTGCATTTATACGTGTAATTAATTAATTAAGAACTGCAGCAATGAATATGTGATTTGGTTCCCATGTGACAGGGTACTGTATTTGCCTGATTAGAAGCCCGGGCATAAAAAAAAGTTGCCAAAAGAGGGAATCGACCCTATGTCCCCTAGCTCATTAGACTATGCTTCAAGAGTTAAGCTATTTGGAACAATCTAACATTGAGGTTATCTAAATTGGCTATAATATGTGCATCTATAGTGAGAATATTTTAAGGATGGACGTTTATTTAAGCTGGGCTTCTAATCAGGCAAATACGGTACTATAAATCAACTTTGATTGGCCTAAATAATGATATGTTACTATAATTATGTACATGTACATGTATTATTATTATTGTTGTTGTTGTAGTATTCTTAACTTTTCGTCAAATATTGAGCATGTCACACCTTCGTTGCTCGCCGAAATTGAAATTGAATTTCGTGAAATCAACAAGTGGGCCCTCCAGCAGCTGAGGCAAGGTGTTATTCACATTCGTAATTTCTTTGATCACATCTCAACAATGAACTGTTAGTTATTATACATGTAATATGCACATACATGTACATGTACATGTACATGTACATGTACATGTATACATTAAATCATGTACCCTGCATGTACATGTATAGCTGAGGGGGAAATTTAATGAATTAGGCATTTTGATAGCCATTTGAAATTAAAGTTTAAACCCACCATTGTAACCTTTATGTGCATGCTCAATGGCAATATGGCCATAATCAAAACCCTCCAATCACTCAAAAAATTGGCAGTTGCCAAAATTTTATTCCTGAAAAAATTACCATGTATAGTACATGTACATGTGCATACTACATGCATTATATACTGTATTTATTTATTTTGTGTAGCTGAATCACAGGGCAGTATCTGTTCCTGTTCTACTTCTCGTTTTGTTATTTCTTTGCTGAAGATGTTGACTACGGAAAACAAATCAGTTGATCTTTCTATGTTCATAAATGAAGGATTGCTTGGATTAGTACAGTCTATTTTTAAGTAAGTAAAGCTTTTAGATGTTTTCATTTGTAAGCTACATGTACAAACATGCATATACATGTGCATGTACATGTATATGTGCATACACATAGATATTAGGCCACAACATACATGTACATGTACATGTACAGTATAACTGTACTTTATATCATTATCGTTTAATGATACCCTTGTTATAATAATGCGTCTAATACATGTAAATTTTTGGCCATAAAATTAATGTGCTGTATTTTAAGTAACATTCATTTGAATAAATATATGTACATGTACATGTACATATTACATGTATATATTGTAGATGTAGGCTTTAGGCAAAAAAACACTTGCATACATGTGCATGTATTTATAACAGTACTACTATAGTAACTGTACTGTTTGTCATGGTCCTTTTAAAAAGAGGTACTAGCAAATCATTTTTATACTAACATGTAACAGATACTAACATTATATGTGTACATGTACTTTTTATAACAGTATTAATTGTACACATATATTGTTATTTGTGTTAATAAATTAGTTCTTTTACTTTTTTACGTACATGTACATGTACATTAATCTATCTTCCCATTGTAGATTAACTGGTGTTTCAGAGCTTGAAGAGAAGGTTGAAGAGACTAAATCAAATCCCACTGGTAGCGGTACAACAGCAGTACCAGTAGTGGAGTTTGCTAACTCACAGAACTCACCCAATCCTCCTGTCACTGGGGTAGAGGTCATCCCACGACTCACTCCAGGGACAAGAGTTCAACGTGGACCGGATTGGAAGTGGGGGGATCAGGTACTGTAATAGTGTACATGTATTATTATAACGTTCAAATAATCTTGTATATGTATGCATGTACATGTACATGTAATGTAGTTTCAGTCTCAAATTTTTGTGATTTTACAAAAAATTGAGTGTTAAAAATTTTGTGAATTACATGTGACATCAATGCATGCATGATGACTGTAGTAGTCTAGTACGTAAAATTTCACAAAAATTTTAAGAATATTCAACCTAGAAATTTGAAGCAATGTACATGTAGTGTTATTTTGTAAATTTGTGTACATTTTGTATGTACATTTACATGTATGTGCATATGCATGTGTGCTGATATGTACGTATACTGTTTGTACATGTACATGTACACGTACATGTACATTGTACATGTAGGGGAAATATTCAGTAATTTTTTACATTGTAATTGCATATACTTTATGCTTGCAAAAAAATTATTATAAATATTATTATTTTTATATTTTAATATTATATTATTTATTTTGTAGAATGGTCCTCCCCCGGGTGAGGGTACAGTAATCAGTGAGGTTGGCAGTGATGGCTGGGTGAGGGTCAGGTGGGACACTGGCTCAGTTAATTCTTATCGAATGGGAAAAGAAGATAAGTTTGATTTAGCGCTGGCTCCGTCAGAATTGTTACCAAAAACTAAACCTGAAGAGAAAAAGGAAGATATTAAGGATACTCAAATTTCTGAAGGTATTTTTATACCAGCATATTGTGTACAGGGTTTCCCCATTAAAGCATGCTAAGTGAGCTAAACAGCATGAGCTTCATGAGCTGACAAGCACTACAATACAGTACATGGCATTTGGAGCAACTTTTAGAATTGATTAAAAATTTAAATTTGATCAGAATTGGCTCAAACTTTGTACACAGCATAAGTACATGTACATGTATATGTATCAGAAAAATGATTAAAATGGAGAAGTTTCTCCTTGTGATTTTTGTCGAAATACCCTTTACTATAGTACAAGGCCCTTGGGAACAACTTGACAATCCTAAGCCAAAATCCTGTGGGAAGTTATGAATGCGTACATTTATATTGCTTTTATATGTGCATGCATGTTTTAAATTATACTGCAAAATTAAGCATGCACATGTACCACTCATTAATTCACGTCATAAATAAATGTACATGTACGTACCTTGTGTAAATATTATCCTATTATTCACTGTGTACTCTATTGCAGGATTAACTTTAGAACCAAAGTGTATCGATGATTCTACTAAAATTGTTGTCAGGTCTTGTGTTCATCTTCTACGCTGCATATCAATTGGTCTTGGCATTCACGCAACAGGGATACCCTCATCAGTAGCTAACTCACTCGCATCTCATTTACTTCATGTTTTATCAAGCAGTATGGAAAAAAGTTAGTTAATAGGGTATTTTTTCTTTTTTAATTTTTTTGCTCATTTGAGCTTAGAATGCAATATTAGATTTTATTAATATCTAAAATTTTGATCATAAAATTGTTATGTTTTTAAAAAATTTGGAAATGTTTACAATTGAATTTTTAACTTAAACACATGTTCATGATATTATCTGTACGACACACATGCATTTAAATTGTATTGTCCAAATGACTCCTTATTCTAATCTTCTATATACATATAGATGTACATGTATATACCATGTATTTTTAATTTGCTATTATTATTATTATAAATCCCTGTAGGTGATGATAACAGTGGTATTTATTCAATCCAGCATTACATGTGGGCTACCTTTGGTTTCCTTCGTGGTATTGTGACTAGCACTGACGTTGGGTCTGCCTTCTGTACTCCTCTATGGGCTAAGCTAATAATGAATATGGTGGACAGTTTCTGCTCTCCTACAGAATCAGCTCCATCTTCTATTAAGCACTCTAGTGTCATTCATCAGGTATGCACGATATTTGTGTTGTCACTATTAATTTTGAATTTTATTCTAAAAATTATCTATAGCATACCATATACATGTAGCTTGTTTTTCAGAATAATTTTTTTAAGTTTGTGATTTTTTGAAGATTCATAACATAAAAATTTAATGCAGTAAAAGATCGCTGAATTGTAGACAATCATGAAAATTAAATTAATCTTGTCAACTTCCAGATATAGGTCATTTGCAAAAATTATTATCCTCAAAAACCTTGCTATACATGCACAACATTAATAATAATGTTATCATGATAGTACTAATATTAATACTTGTCTTGTTTTTAGGTTCTTTTCTTAAGATTTTTGAGATCATTTCTCTCTTCGTGGCCAGAGGGACAACACAAAACCTCACAGTCAGAGCTGATACACCACCTATTTCGCATGCTAGGCTACATCATGGTACTCTGCAAGGTCCCTTTTGACGGAGGGCAGCCTCTCTCCGGGAGAAAAAGAGTCAAAATCCACACGGCACCCACTGCCTCCTTTAGCAGCACCATAGCTGAGGAATGCATTGTTTTATTGAGGAAGCTCCACCCTCTTCCGGCCTGGAATGATATTGTGAATGAGTTTATTGGAAGTGCTCTTCAGAATATTCCTCAGTTGGTGTTCCCTGCTCAGTTTGTGTCTCAGGATGACAGCATTGAAGAGATGTCTTCAGCTCACAAGGAACAAGTATGCTAGTGTTGCATGTTAATGAGGGTTGGGGTCAATGTAGGCCAAAGATTTTACAGTGGACTGTAGTGTGTAGCGTGGAAATTTCGGAGGGAGTAAAATTTGGCAATTTTGCTAAATTTTGGTGAAAGGAGGATTTTAATTTGGCAAATTTCTGGCCATGTGCCATTGAGCATGTGCATAATGGCTGAAAATGGCAGATAATTTATTGGCAGGGATTTAATATTGGCAATTGGTGTTATGAAGAAATTGCCAATATAAAATTCACCAATTTCATTCCACGGGCAAATTTTCCAAATATTACTTCTGCCAATAAATCATCTTGTACGGTATTACAGTACATGTACATGTACACAATGCATGTAGCAGGAAATTTTGGAGGGAATTTAATTTAACGAATTGGCGTTTTGATAGCCATTCACCAAAATAAAAATCCGCCATTTTGAGCCATTATGTACATGCTCAATGGCACGTGGCCACAAATTTGCCAAATTGAAAATCTGCCAATCACCAAAATTTAGCAATCCGCCAAATTTTACTCCCTCCAAAACTTCCTGCTATATGGTAAATAATTTGCCATATTGAAAGACCATTACATTTACATTTATTATAACGAGTTATTAAACTGTTAATCATGTACGATGTGATATTAATTAACTATTTGCACATGTACATTGATATGATAATTTTCATGCAATTACTATTACTATTACTGCAACAAATGTAAACTTTACTTATTACATAGTTGCAATTGGATATGGATCGTTATGGCACAGCACTGGCAGTTCTATCAGTAATAGGTGGATTGGATGATAGACCAAGGATTGGAGGTCTTGTCCAACATGAGGAACTTGGTGTTGGAACGATTGCTAAGGTTCAGAGCAAGAACAAAGTCGCTGTTTTGTTTCATGGAGGAAGGAGAGCTAAGCTCTGTCTCATTGCGACGCTTAAAACGGTGAGCTTAGAATTAAAATGCAATTTTTAATCACGATGGATCAGAATGGTCCCATGGTGTAATGGTTAGCACTTTGGACTTTGAATCCAACGATCCGAGTTCAAATCTCGGTGGGACCTCTTTTTTTTCTTTTTTTGTTTATTAATTTCATTCTTTTTTTATATTTTTTTACAGTTGAAAGTTTTGGATTTTCATGTTAACCAGCTTCCAATGAGTAATACTGTTACAGGGATATGGACTAGCCTTGTCCGTCTTGCTGGCTCTGGGGATGGAGCATTCTCTTCATTTTTAACTTCAACTGCAGCTCCTAATTTAGTCACAAGCACATCGAGCAATAAAACCTCTTCCAAGAAATTAGATGGAAAAGGTAATTTTATTAATAACATAGCACTTTTGAAAGTTTAGTAATTTATTTAATATGTGTACATTTGTTAGATAGAAAGAGAAATTTTGTTTCTTATAATAATAATTTTTTTACAATTTTTTAGAAATTGACATGGCTGCTTTGCGAAGACAGCAAATAAGATTGGGCTTACTGAAAGCTGCCAGAGTCCTGTTCAGCCAACAGGAAAACCTTTTACAAATAATGACAAGCAAATCAGACGTCATTGATGATGAGTATCAATACAGCTTATTCCAACAGTTACTAAGTGCAGCTACTAGGCCCTCACCTGTTAAAGCAATGTTTGGGAAAGAGGAACTAGAGGGAGCTGCTGTGTCTATTTGTCAGTATTTAGCAGCTGAAGTTCACAGTCCTCAGACAAACGAGGCTACTCAAAAGAAGCAGCCACGGAAAGTGTCTACTTCTGCAAAGAAGACTCAGTCAGTTCAAAGTACTAGTGCTCCAGCAGTGGCACCTGCTGTACCTGAACCACCTCCTCCTTCTAGGATAGTATCACAAATAATGGAAATGGGATTTCAGAGAAGGAGAATAGAATATGCCATTCAAGTAAGCATATATACACATGTACATGTACATATAATTTTATGTTCTGCCTTTAACATTTCTTGCACAAAATAATTTACAAATCCTTAAAAATAACTTATTTTATGGATTAAATATTCATTGTTCGATAGTCACTGTAGTGGGGTCTAACATGAATTTCATTATTGTGGATATGAATTTTGCTTTCTATTATACATTTGCAAATCACAAAAAGATTTCTTACTACATGTAGTCATGTACATACATGTATATAATTCTTTGTATCAATAATGTTTTATTTAATAAAACACATGTACATGTATATGTGTATGATATTTTTAATCAATAATGATGTTTTATTATTATGCATGTGTACATTAGTATGTTGTATCAAAAGTGATGTTTTATTATAATGCATTCCTTTGTAGATGACTGGTATTACCAGTAATGTTGAAAACCTCATCGCTTGGCTACTCGATCACACTCATCTTGAAATCCCTGACGTCGAACCACCAGCGAAACCCACCGTACAGCCTCCCCCTCCTCCCATTCCTCCTCCTCCCATTGAACCATTGGAGTCAGTTGAGGTTAAGTCCGACAGCTCCTCAGGGGATGAGAGTGCTGATGATAGCGACTCATTTGATTATGACATTGAAGACCAAATACCTCCTTTTGGTACGATAGTTATACTGTATACGTGTAGTTTAGAGGGCTTTAAATTTTTTGGATTTTACAATATTTTTATTTTACTCTACCGTATAGCATAAATTATTTTAGAGGGCTTTAAATTTTGTGGATTTTGTAATATTTTTTAAATTTTACTGTACCATACATGTATAGCGTAAATTATTGTAGACAGCTTTAAGTTTCGTGAGTTTTATAATTCTTTGAAGATTTGTAAAAGTTACATTTAGTTTCACAAAATTTAGCTTATTATAGTATAAGATGGCTGACAGCATAATTTCACAAAAATTAAATCAGCAAATTACATGTACATTTTAAGGCTATTTCACAAAATTTACAGCCCTTATACTATAATCATTCTTATTATAATATTACTTATTATTATTATTTCTCTAGGCTCAACTTTGCCTTACAAAACAATTGATCAGTTCAAGAATGCTGAAGAATACTCACGTTATGTGTGTGACACAATAAATGTTGGAGTCTCTGTTCGATGTATTGAAAATTGTGGAGACGTCAGAAAAGGAGACACTGGTAGAGTGACTAAGGTCAGCCTTCACTTTAATCTTTGTTCAATTACCATAATTACCATAATGTACATGTACATGTAGTTTTAATAATTTGTGATTGCTAATTTTTGTGATTAATGTGTTTTACACAATGCACACGCGTACATGTAATTTAGTGAATTTGTGGCTATGTGCTTGTGAGCATAAGATAGTAGAGTAATGGCGAGTTGTTTTATTTTGGCAAACAACTATCAAAATCCAAAGTGTGAAAAGTTGCCCACTCCAAATTTACTCACTACACATGCAATGTATAGTATACAGTATCTATTCATACATGTAGGTATACATGTAGGTGAAGGAATAGGGGAGCCAGGGGGCCCCAATAAAAACCCCTAACAGTAACAGAAGTGCAATTTTTACTTTGCCATTATGCTTCTATTTATTGTATGTATGCAATACTTGCTTGATTGCCCCCCCCCCCCAAATACAAATTTCATTCCTATACTTTATACATGTACATGTACATGTAGTTTTAATAATTTGTGATTGCTAATTTTTGTAATTAATTTGTTTTACACAATGCACACGCGTACATGTAATTTAGTGAATTTGTGGCTATGTGCTTGTGAGCATAAGATAGTAGAGTAATGGCGAGTTGTTTTATTTTGGCAAACAACTATCAAAATCCAAAGTGTGAAAAGTTGCCCACTCCAAATTTACCCACTACACAATGTATAGTATACTGTATCTATTCATACATGTAGGTATACATGTAGGTGAAGGAATAGGGGAGCCAGGGGGCCCCAATAAAAACATCTAACAGTAACAGAAGTGCAATTTTTACTTTGCCATTATGCTTCTATTTATTGTATGCATGCAATACTTGCTTGATTGCCCCCCCAATACAAATTTCATTCCTATACTTTATGCTATTATCAATTTATCATATCTCTTATCATTAATAGATTGATAGAGAAGATGTTCATAGTTTACATGTCCAAGTCCTGTGGAGCAGAAAATCAGGAACTTACTGGGTGAAGTATTCAGCCATTGAGTTCATTGGATCACCCAATGGACAAAAACCTGCTTTTAAAGTTGGGGATAGAGTCAGAGTAAAGAAATCAGTGAAATCACCAAAGTCAGTCATTTTGTACAGCCTGTATGTAATACTATTATTATTGTTACATTGTTATTGTAGATATAAGTGGGGCTGTGTTACTCATGGTAGTATTGGCACTGTCCGTTCGATAAATAGAAATGGGCAGGATATTTGTGTGGACTTTGCTGAACAAAGCAACTGGACTGGATTAATATCAGAAATGGAACTTGTTCCTGGAATCCACCCAAGACACAAGTAACCAACAATAATAGTATTAATGTAATTAATGTAATTAATGTACAAATATGCATTAATTACATTAATTATGTACTGTATAGCCGATAATTTTTGAGGGGTTAAATTTTAGCAAATTTGGTATTTTTGGTAGCCATTTGCCAAATTAAAACCCACCATTTGTGTATGGGCATATACTCAATGGCAATGGCATATGGCCACAAATTTGCTAAATTAAAATAGCAATTTGCCAAAATTTCTTTCCTCCAAAATTACTATACGTACATGTACATGTACACGTACATGTACATGTACACGTACATGTACATGTTTTTTTTTCATTTTATATCTCTACAAACTTGATACATGTACATGTATTAGCCATGCTACATGAAGAATAATACATACACAGTACATGTACATATATTATATTCTCTACATTATAGGTGTGATGGCTGTCAAATGAATCCCATTGAAGGCCCAAGGTTTCATTGCCAAGTGTGTGCTGACTTTGATTTCTGTAAGGAGTGCTTCATTCACGGTCAATCACATGATCATGCTTTTGAGAGGATCGATGATCAAGGACAGGCAGCAGTTTATGTAGGATCACCAAAGTCCTGTAGACTTGCTATTAAACAAAGGAAAAAAGTAAATATTAATTATAAACATTAATATTAGTGATGGGTGATTCCAAGTCCAGAGTATTCAATCCTTTGATTCTGAATGGAATCGTACTCGTAACGAAAGAGTAGTGAGAATCGTTTGAAACGATTCTGAAGTAAACCACACATTAATAATATCTAATAAACCAGTAGTTAATATCTTCATTATTCATTGTTATTTCTGTAATTGATAACATGGGGCTTTGTGCATGCACAGAGTGGTATTCGATTCTAGAGGTGGGCGATACGATACCAAAGTACTCATATATCCGGTACCAAGTACTCGATACCAAATCCTGGTATTGGGTAGTGTAGTGACTATGCCCAATCACACCTTCTTTGACGTCATAATGACAGCCACACCCTTTCATAATTATAAAAATGGCGGATGATTTCCCTTTATTTTTATTAATAACTAATTATAACTTATTTGCGCATGCGCAGTAGCTGACTACTCATTCAGTACCGTACAGAAGGAAATTTTGGAGGGACTAAATTTTGGCGAATTGCTAAATTTTGAATGATTGGCGAATTTTAATTTGGCGAATTTGTGGCCATGTGCTATTGAGCATGCGCATAATGGCTCAAAATGGTGAATTTTTATTTTGGCGAATGGCTATCAAAATGCCAAATTCGCCAAATTTGACTACCTCCAAAATTTCCTTCCATACAGTATTCAATATCATCAATACTGATACTCAGACTACTTAGTATCGGTATCGATTCAAAATTTCTAGACTCAATCTTTAATCAATGTTTTGTTTTTACAAATGTAGGGGCATATTATCCCCCTTCAAAAATTGCATTAGATTTAAATCAATATCGCGCAGAAAGAAGTGTAAAGTGCTTTATTACTGAATCTCATTTTAAACACTATTATTTGTAAAAGCTATCATGGGTTGCATAACAATGTGGTTAACACTTCTGTCCTTGTGTAAACTGTGAAGCTACAATGTACATATATAATACAGAGACATTTTAACATTTTAAAAATTGTTAAAACTTTTAAAAATTGTACTTGGAATGGGCTCAGACTCTCTATAAATGTACATACTTGCATATATAATTTTTATATTTTGTTACAGAAGATGTTGGGAGGCTCAATTGTCAATGAATGGGATCAAATTATTCGTCATCTCTCAGTTTCAAGTAATGAAGGACAAGCAATGAGACTTTATGATGGAACTGAAGCTACCTACTGGCAGTCTAGTGGCCCTCAGGGAAAGGTAGCTTCACTATATATATTATTATTGATTCTTATTTTAGTTGTGTTACAACATAAGTTTTTATGTACATGTACATGCATTATATTTGTATACAAAAAGCATAAAATAAGGTACCTATACCAAGAATGCTATCTCAACATAAAATAGTGAGTATTTGATATTTTTCAGTCAGCAAGGCTGTTGCTATATGTATTTATAAAAATTCTTATGTTGTCAATTGATTATGATCAAATACCGTAATTAGATAAATTTGAAGAAGGGGATACCGTAAACGTAAAAAAATTCGTGGTAAAACAATTCATGGTTTAGCTCCAGAAGGCCCAGAAATTAATTTTCGCTGGAATTAACTTTCGTGGGGGGTGTGTCCGTTCATTGCTAAACGTGTACATGCACGTGATCAGAACAGAAAGGGTTAATTTTTAATTTTCATGGATTTTTCGTCCCACAAAAAACACGAAAATTAAATTGCAACAAATTTTTTTACGTTTATGGTACTGTGCTGAGAGTACATGAAACGGTTCTCTTTTGCAGCCTTGAGCACTGTTATTTTGTACCCTGACTACAAATATGCATAACATACATGTATTTATTTTATTTGTATACCAAAGTACAGAAAATATTTATTATTGTATACTAATAACTTATACAATGTACATGTACTTACCATATTTATATCTGTATGAACTAACATGTATAGTCATTTTATTTATTATTTGTACATACATGTAGCACTGGATTCGTTTGGAAATCCAACCAAATATCCTCATTGAGCAACTCTCCATACAACTCTCACCTCTTGATGCCAGCTACATGCCATCCACCATTGTAATACTCACTGGACAAACTGTTGGTGGATTAAAAGAATTTAAGAGTGTCGCCATTCCATCTAATGCCAGGGAATATACTCTCTTATCCGGTCTGACTGATGTCAGTAATATCACTTGTATCCATTCTTTATTAACAGTTTTTATTGTAGTATTATGCTGTCATTGAGCTATCAATAAGAGCCTGCAAGAGTGGTGGGATTGATACTAAAGTTCATGGTGTCTCTGTTCTTGGTAGAGTTGATATGACAGATAAAGAAGTCGCTGCAAACTTTTCATTTTTGACTGTTGATGATGCCCTTGATGATGATACTAATAATATGTATTCAAGGAGGAGACTGGATCTATTGTCTACTGATACTCACGGGAACAAAGTGTTTGTTTGGGGTCTTAATGATATGCGGCAGTTAGGGACTGACCTCTCTGAAGCAAAAGTATGGGATAATACATGTACATGTATTTTGTTACGTATTATGTGAAGGGTGGGCATTATTCAATGGTGTCTAGTAGTGTCTGAAGCAAAAGTATGGGATAATACATGTACATGACATGTACATGCATTTTGTTACATACAGTATACATGTACATGTATGTTAAGGGTATGCATTATTGAATAGTGTCTATACCAGTTCATACACAGTATAAGGACATGTATGCATATCAGAAAAATTATCAAAATGGAGATTTCTCTTCTTATGATTTTCGTCATAATAGTATAGTATCTTTGGCCCAATTTTTGAGCAACTTGACAATCCACTGACAAGAATTTGCATGAGCACTAAACCCTGCTGTACATGTACATGCATATATTGAATTGTGATACCTTACATTATGTATTATACTGTAGGTAAAGAGCCCAATTGAGAGCCGTACTTTAGCCAGACTGCACCCAATTCAGTTTGCCGGTGGATCAAAATGCTCCTTTGTAGTCTCTGATGATGGAAAAGTAAAATATTTATAATCATTATTATTACATAAAAGCTTAATGTTTTTGTCCATCAGGTATTTGCGTGTGGTGAAGGCTCTAGTGGTAGACTGGGAATAGGTGGATTTGCTAATATTCGAATGCCACATCAAATCTCATCATTAAGTATGTATGTAGTGAGGAAGGTAGCAGTTAGTTGTGCTGGAAGACATGTTCTAGCAGTTACTGCTGATGGGAAGGTATTCTCATGGGGAGATGGACAGTATGGTCAGCTTGGTCATGGATCATTACAGTGAGTAGTAATATGCAGTAATAGTGGGAGAATTTGGCTGTACTTAATATTGGGATTGGATTGCTTTGTATTGTTGGTTTTTATATTGGGAATCAGCAGCCATGTGCCATTAAGCTTATATGCACAGAATAAAACAAAATGGATGGAAATTAATCAGCATAAAACTTTGCCAATTTTCCCGCTATATAGGATTTAACGTACCATAGACTGGGAGATTTTTGTTGCTAAAATAATTTTGATTTAATGGCTAACAGTAAAATTTTAACACGCAAGATATTTTTGTGACTTATAATGAGATATTATGGATATGCAAAGTAGTGATAATGTGAAAAATTTTATACCAATTATTTGTAATATAAAAATTTTTCAATCTACAGTACATGAATTTGTAATTATTTTAATAGGAGTTACGACCGTCCTAAAATGATTGAAATTTTCCAAGCAAAGCACATACGAGAGGTATCATGTGGAACTGGTCACAGTGCAGCTGTGTCTGTCAATGGAGAATTATTCACTTGGGGACAAGGAGCTGATGGCAGGCTGGGACATGGTGACTCTAACAATCAAACTAAACCAAAACTGGTACATATATAAATGTACTAATATTAGTATTAATGAGTGAGGAAGATTATAAGAAGAGAAACAGAAATACATGTACATACACAATTACACATGTACATGTACATACATATAGCAATTGAAAGACAATTATCCTTATTATACGCATGCTATATACATGTACATATACATGTACATGTACCCTCAAACTTTTGTGGTCAAATAATAATCTTCGCCATTAATTATAATTATGCTTAGCAATAGAAACAATTATGCACATACTGTGTACATGTACATGTATACATGCCTTCATATTATATATACATGTACCGTATTTGCTCGATTAAACACCCGGGTGTTTATTTCTTAACAGGAAAAAAATCAGGTAAAAAAAACAAAAAAGCCTCTAGTAGGTTTGAACCCGCAACCTTCTAGCATTCCAAACTGTACTCCAACAGTTAGGCTATCTGGCACAATCTAGATCTAATGGCTCATATACTGGGTAAAATTATGCGTATCTATAGTTAGAAAATATTTGTCATGGGCATTTATTTAAGCAGGGCATTTATTCGAGCAAATACGGTACCTTCAAATTCCTAAAGTCAAATATTTTTTGATAGTCTTCTCCATAAAATTACAATAATTTCAGCTCACTACAATATAAAGCTTATAATGATGCTATTTTTTTATTATGATAGGTCCGTGCTCTAGAGAAGGTACGGATATCATGTGTGGCTTGTGGCTCAAGAAATGCCCACACTCTTGCTGCTGGGGATAATTCCCTGTGGGCCTGGGGCGATGGGTCTTTTGGTAAACTGGGCCTCAAAGATGGGAGCTCGTCAACTGATGTTCCTGTTCAAGTCATCACTTTCCCATCTAACATTATTCAGATTGAGTGTGGGATGCACTTCTCTGTTCTCCTTACTAAAGAAGGAAAAGTTTATACATGGTATGTCTGTTAAAATGTATTATTTATTATATACATGTACACATCCAATAGTTGAAATCTTAATCAGGATTGATGTTAGCCTGAGTCAGACTTGAGATTGAGTATCATTGCTGATCAGGCATGATAAGCAATGATACTTGTCAGGACTGACTGATATCAGACTTGATTCGTTCATTTTGGGCAATTTTGCTGATTCAGGCATGATTACTTTTGGTTGTGTAGGCAGTAGCCTATATGTAGGATTGAAGTTGGTTTTTCAAGATGGCTGCCATTTTTATGACTTTCAAACACTTATAACTCTTGTATCTTATGTTATACAGCCTTATAAATGGCTTAGATGAGCTCTCCTTCACTGAGCGATCTCCTGGTACCTTTAAAGTGGACTGTAATGTAGCGGAAGCTTTTCTGGAGAATAAGCCCAAATTCAAATTGCTGCGCAAAATTCTTCAAACTTTTTCTTCTTTCATCTTTCTTCTATCAACACCGAAATCTTTTAAGCCAGGAAATTGCTCAGGTTGGCTTTTATATCATTCCTTTGTGCTTGGGTCAAGGACTGGAAAGGTGGTTTTAAAAGAAGCAAGAACAGAGAACAAAATGGAAGACAAAATCCAGCTTCAGACACCACATGGGTTTGTGGTTTGACGCCATTTTAATTGATGCACACATGATCAACATAAATATAATTAACCTAACCACAGAATCATAACAGAATGTAATTTATTGATTTAAGAAAAAAGAATAGAAACAAGTATATTAAAAACATTAAAAATAGGAAAATAGTAGGATTGAATTGGGAAAAAAGTAAGGAAACAAGAGAGTACTGCATGAATAATAATCAGTTGTAATTATCCCAGCACACAGGCTGCTACATCATGTGACAACACTATAAAGTATTTATCTTCATGCAGTGGTGTAGGATTTTTTACCACACCAGTTTGCAAGTACCCTCTTGTTTCTTTACTTTCTTATCAATTCAATCCTACTACTTTTTCATTTTTAATGCATTTCATTTGCTTGTAATATTTATGATAATGATCACTTTTATGATAAAGATGACATAGAAAGACATTAAAAAGTAGCTTGAAACTATTTGAGAAAGTTACAGCCAGTTGGAGGTGATGGAAGTATGATCCAGCTAGAGCCTCAGTTCTGCTGTTAAACAAAGCCAACTTGATCATTTACTTTATTGTGAAATAGTGTGAGCATTTCCCTTGATATTAATTTATTAAAAAATAAAAATATATTCTACCTTTTGAAACGCCGTAAGCAGCAATCGCTACCATTACCATGCATGTAGATTTATGCCATTACTTAGTACAGCAACTACGCATTTGGGTACACCAACATGGTTGTCATAAGACCAAACCTCCTAAGTACCCTGCCAAATGAGTTATAGTAATTTCACTGGAAAGCTACAGATAGCGTAGTAACTTGGTAGACACTTCAACTGTTGAAATTTCAAGTATACAGTCATAGGGCTTATTCCAAGATAATTGATGTCATGCAGCTAGCCTCTGATTGGTCAGTTTTTGCTTAATTGCTCATGAATATTGATGAGGTATCTAATACTATATAAGGAGGTGACCAGCAGCAGTCAATCACTTCTCACTAAAGCAAGAAATCATCTCACAAGAAGAAGAATACTGTCTACCAAGGAAAGGAATCATGAAGACTCTACTCTCACTCTTCTGTCTGGTTACTTACCTGACCTGTGCTCTCAGGTATGTTACTACAGTATCAAATCAATGTTACTTTTCTCTTGTACATGCAGTGCTAATGGCTGGCCAGTCTCTCTTGACATGGCTTGTAATAAAGCTCTTTCCGCAGTTGCTTGCTCTTTTGAGTTTA